CACACGCACGAACCACACACACACCACACACACACACACCACACACACACACCACACACACACACACCAAACACACACACCACACACACCCACGCACGGACGCACGCAGCGCGCACACGCACACGCACACGCACACGCACACGCACACGCACACGCACCCGCGCCCGCGCCCGCACCCGCACGCGCACGCGCCTACGCACGCGTACACGCACACGCACACGCGCACACACACACACACAACACACACACAAACAATGCGCGTGCACAAGCACAGACAAACACGCAAAACCACAAACACACGCACACACACACACAAACACGCAAGCACGCACGCACACGCACGCATGCACGCACGCAGCGCACCCACACACGCAGACACACACACACACACGCACACACACACACACGCACACACACACACACACACACCACGCACACACGCACATGCACACGCAAATGCACGCAAGCACGAATATAAACACAAATGCGAGCTCAAACACGCACACACATACACAACACACACACACGAACAGACACACAACCAGACGCAAGCAAACAGAAGCAACAACCACAAACACGAACACAAACACACACACACAAACACAATCACACACACACCAGCACACACACACACACACTCACGCAAACACACGCACACCACACACACACACAACACACACAGACACACAGCACACACACACACAATCAACGATTCAAACCCCATTCCCGCACAGTCGCACGCACAAGCACCTTCTCGCACACACTTTCACCCGCACAAACACACAACCACAAACATGCAAACACACACACACACACCCACACACACACACACACACGCACACACACGCACACAGGCACCCCCACACCCACACCCACGCGCACGCCCACACCAACACTCAATCCCACACCCACATGCACATGCACGCGCAAGCAGGCACGCGCAAGCGCACGCGCGCACAAGCACGCACACGCACATGCACATGCACACGCACGCGCCCACGCGCACGCGCACGCACACGCACACAAACACAAGCACAAACACAACAAACTTGCACACAAAAACATGGACACACACAAGGCACACAAAAACACACAAACAACAAGAGATACAAACACACACGCAGACAAACATACACACACAAACAAACAAACACACGCACGAGCACAAGACACAATTGCACCCCCCCCACAAAGACAGACACAAACACAAACACCAGAGCAAACATAAACACACGTGCGCACGCGCACACCATTACACCAGCACACTCGCACACCCCCAGACTCGCACAAACACAAGCACAAACACACACACACACCCACACACCCACATGCACGCACACACACACACACACACACACTCACACCTTCTGACAGGACAAGCGCAGGCCAAGATTGTTGTTGACTTTTCAGGGTACCTTTTTTTCATTTGGGTTTAGAAGCTCAAATGACAACCGAAATCCATTTTTAGGGTCCTAAGCAGGTCCGTTTGTGGGTCCCCATCGACGTGGCAAAAGGCGGAGTTTGTGAAGATCCTGAAGATGCCGGAGGCCGTGCTGGCGCTGGAGGAGGCGCTTGCGCTTCGTAGCGCCGGGTCGGGGTCGCAGTTGGGACTTTGAGGCGGAGATGTGCAAATGGGTCACAATGAAAACCCGGTATTAAACTGGTCTACCCAGATCCATGTAAAGAATGAAGAAGGCGGCCAAAACTATTTCTGGCTGGGACTGCCCCTTACTAACCTTCATCTACCCGGGTTTTGATTGTGGCTCAAATGGACAGCTGGTAGACTTAAATTTGGGTGGAGATTCATAGCAGTTGCATCTCTGACCGTGCAGAATGAATGGGGCCGTGCATAGGACAGGTGGAGTCATCCCCATTCAAATGAAGCTGAGAGAAGCCGATGAGGGAATTCCACGCGTGGTTGTGTTCCTTTTGGGGGGGAAGACTTGAACATTGAAACTGGGGTAAAAAGTGCAGGTGGGCATCGACCCAGTCTCCATCATCGACTTCACGGATTACATTTTCGGGGGCGAGGCGCGTGCCGTGGACATCTTCTGAACGGAATAGTCCCAGTTTGGCACTGCGCAACTGGCCGTTCGTTAGGACAGCGTCGAGGATACTTTGAACTTCCCAAAGTTCATGGAGGTTCGGATTGTGCCGTCGCTCGTGTCGGGGCAAGCGCGGCCAATTGAGAGCTCAAGAAGTATGCTAAGCCATTTGCGAGGTCATCCTGAAGCTTAGGCAGACCAACGAGTGCACGATCAGGGACATGGTGGACCTGCCGGTGCCTCAAGTGACTTTAGGCGGAATGCGGCTTGGACTCCTGCGGTGGATCCATCAGACTGTTTCCTAGACGGGATTTCCGTTTGGAATGGTTCAACGAAGTTATACCAACCTTTGTTTAGAACGGATTTCCAACCATTCTAGGATTTTCGTTAGCAAACGCAACCTCAAAGCAGCCAAGCAGTTCCCCGTGGGTGGCAACAGCACATGTTGTTGCCCGAGGCGAAGGCAGATCACCAGCCAGCTGGTCACGGCTCAGGCGCAAGGGAGACAAGGGAGCGGTTCGCAAGCCGCTTTGCAACGCCAGGACGTGATCCTGGAAGACATCCGGGCACAATGCGAGCGGGCAGGGAGCCTCCGACAGAGAGAACCGTTCAGCGCCCGCTCTCCCGCAGCTCAATCTCTTTTAATTAACTTCGTTTTTGCGCGCCCAAAAATGATCCTGAGGTCTACACCTAGCGTACCAGAGCAATCGGTTATGTCTCTCTCACCCCAGCCATTCTAAGGCGCGCCAGGGTGCTGAAGAGCGCCGCGAGGACCTCGTCTATGGCACAGGCGACGCGACTGCCGCGCGATGCTCGGTCAGCGCCTCCATGTCAGGTGATGCCTCCGGCACGGGCTCGACTAGTGACAGTCACCACCTGAGAAGTGGAGCCGTATCCCGGGCGAGTGAAGGTAAGGGACAGTCCCAACTGTTCATACCAGGTTTTGATTGACTCAGTTGAGCCACAATCAAAACCCGGGTAAGTGAAGGTTAGTACGGGACGATCCCAGCCATAAAATTACTGCGGCCACCTTCTTGGTTCTTTACATGGTTCTGGGTCGACCATTTTTGTACCGGGTTTTGATGGACTCCGTTGAGATGACGCAACTCTCTCCCTCTCTCACTCGTCACGCCGGGCCCGAGGGCAGCCCTGCCCGACACTGAACGGGCTGAAGGCCGGCCGTGCGGGCAACGAAACGGCTATGTTCCAGTACTGTTCTACTGCAGCGAAAGGAGGGAGGTGTCATGGAGTCAGGTCGCTGAAAAACCAACACCTCCCAAATTCTGAGCTTGTCTCACGTCTTCTTTGGCCCGAGAAGAGCCTGGAGTTGACGGCTGAATCTGTGAGGCCCGAACAGACAGGCTGGAGGAGCTGATGAAGAAGACTCTCAAAGAGGCGTGCCGACCATTCCAGTGATTTGGCGCGTTCCGACGAGATTTGGCGCGGTTCAAGTGAGGGAGCGAGGTCATTTGTTGCAGCGATATCTGTAGATGCACAGAAGGTTGTCAGGTTTCCCTTGCACAAGGATTGGCGGTACGGGAAGCGAGGACGTAGAAACAACGGGGGCATTTCGGGCATTTCAAAGAGTTTCCCGATGCACTGAAGTGGTACTTGGGGGAGGATATCTGGCGATTTGCCAAGGAATATCATACTTGGACAGGTGTTCTGCAATTTACAAGAATCTTTAAAGAGTTGTGGGAGATGAACACGTTGGAGACTAACTTTGAAGTTGTTGCCCGTCAACTGAAAATGTGTTGCCCCCCCCGCCCCCAATTGATGCATTGGATTACGGGTTTGACATGTATTGAACTTATCGTTAGAATCGCTGTGAAGTCACATATTGAACATTGCTCTTTTTCTCTGTATATATATATATATGTACACATCTATGTCTATATCTACACACATATATATATATATATATGTGTACACACCCGCATACACTAGACCATTGTCACCAGGTGGCCGTTGGAGCCGTTTCGCGTCTTGCCTTGAAAGCTTCGGAGGGTTTTTGGAGCTCGCGGCATCTGCAGGTCCAAGAGCTTCTGCAGCGGACTCCGGTTTCCGCGCCCGGGGTGCCCGAGGGGCCCGAGGGGCTCAGGGGGGCTCAGGGGCGGAAACCCGGGGTTTCGGGCTTGGGGCTGGTCCAACTCTGCCGGTTTACACAGAGTTAGATGCAGTACACAAAGTGATGAAACAACGGACCTGATGGTTAGATGGTGTACACTCAGATCTGTAGCCAACGAAACAAAGGATCGGATGGTTTACACAAACTACGCGTCAAATGGCGGGTGTTTTCGGCCATATTTATTTGTGAGACCGTCCCCTTTAGGCGATCATGTTGAGAGGGGCAGGTGCAGCTAGTCCCACAAGGTGGATATTCTGCAGCGGAAAACTTTAGAGCCTCCGGCTCAGTCCGCCGACATTGTCCTCTCCCTTTTCTCCTTCTTCCTCTCTCCCTTGTCTCCCTGGTGTGTTCTGTCGTCCTCTCTCCCTCCCTCCGCTCCCCATCCTCCCCATCCCCCCAAGCCACTCTCTCCCCAATCTCCCTCTCTCGTATGTATGTATGTATGTATGTATGTATGTATGTATGTATGTATGTATGTATGTATGTATGCATGTATACATGTATGTAATGTATGTATGTATGTATGTATGTTATGTTATGTTATGTAATGTAATGTAATGTAATGTAATGTAATGTAATGTAATTGTAATGTAATGTAATGTAATGTAATGTAATGTAATGTATGTAATGTATGTAATGTATGTAATGTATGTAATGTATGTAATGTATGTAATGTATGTTATGTATGTTATGTATGTTATGTATGTATGCATGTATACATGTATGTAATGTATGTATGCATGTATGTTATGTTATGTTATGTTATGTAATGTAATGTAATGTAATGTAATGTAGTGTAGTGTAATGTAATGTAATGTAATGTAATGTAATGTAATGTAATGTGATGTTGTGTAATGTAATGTATGTATGTATGTCTTTATGTCTGTCTGTATGTATGTCTGTATGTATGTATGTATGTATGTATGTATGTATGTATGTATGTATGTATGTATGTATGTATGTATGTATCCTTGCACTTCCCCTTTGCTCCCCAGTATTTCCCGCAAAAAAACATTGTTTTTCCAGCGTTTTCGCAAAGATGATGTCCAAAAACACAGAGTTTTTCCAGATTTTCGGCAAAAGGATGCAGGAAGCCCAAGCCAGCAAAAAGCCGGCAGGGGGAATCGAGCCTGGGACCCCTGTTTTGCGACACCGGGTCCCCGAAGACTACGTTTAGTGGAACGTCATCAAATTGCCGCGCGGTCCTTGGGGGGGGGGGGCTCCCCCCCCCGGGGTTATCCTCTATCCTCTCTTAGGTGTCCGACACGCCGAGCAATGTCGGCATTTGCTTGGAGGCCCTGGGTTGTGATGCGCGCGCCGCAGCCATGTCACTTGCTACATCGCTACGGCAACTTGTAAACATCAAGTGTATCTCACATGGCTGCGCGGCAAGAACCCCTTCCGACTGGTTCATTTCCCTGAAACTCACGTTGACACCACAAGCACGTACTTGGGCAGGTTGCCAAACTAGGTTGCGGCCCTGCCCGGCGTCACATCCACCCCTCTATCTATCTAAATATGTATAGTATATATATATATATACACACATATATATATATATATGTAGGTGTGTATTTGGGCGCCTGAGCCCGTGCAGTCCAGCACTCCGCGTCATCCTTTCAAGTCCTGGCGTCACTGCCAGTGAAACCCCTTGAGGCCTGAGGAGGCCGAGGCCTGGCCGTAAGCAGTTCGACGCAGGTCTCGTGGGGCCGGGCATGGGATGGGCCGTGCAGGAGCCCTGGACCGTGGCCTCGCAAGCGAAGCCGCCCAAGGTGAGGGAGAGTGGCGGAAAAAGGGAGAGTTGGAAGCCGCGCCACGGTTGGAAGCCAAGGAACCCTGAGGGGAAGCTGGCCCCTTCTTTTTATTTCTGAGCATGATGAACATTCTGGGAGGGACGGCCCGCAAGCTGGCCAGTGTCCATTTGCTGTTGGGGCGTGATGGGCTTGCATCCGGCTGAAACTGCTGGCGAGGCGCGGGTACGGCCTCCAGAGCAGAAGCCGGACCTCACACATCGCTTGCCCAGGGCGCAGGCAGGGGGTTGCTTCATTGGTTCCCGTTTTGGAAAGCAAAGGGAGCCAAAAGGTCCTTTCGGTTCCACATCCTTTTCGGAGACGCCGATTTGCTGCCGCAGCCCTTTTACAACTGGGCGCCTTGAAAGTTGTGTGGTTTGAAGAGCGGCTCTTATTGTTTTGGTCCCAACAGCCAAGAATTCCCAAGTTCTAAAATAGGGACCACCCATGAATTTCTTCCATGCTCGCTAAGCATGTTGTTGGGGGGGGAGGTCCACCCATTTCTGTGTATTTTCTAACCATATTCACTCAGAAAAATGACAAATCAACAAGTTTGGACTTGTTTGGGCCAATTCACTTAAGCGAACATGTAAGGCGCTGTTTTTGTTGACGCCTTTGGGTTTGTTGACGAGAAATCAAAAGGACAACCGAAATCTATTTTGGGACATCTGATCCCTAAACATTTTTTATTTTGTTTTTCGCATGTTCAAAAGACATTCCATTTAAATGGGTCCAACCCATGAGTGTTCCCCAACAAAACGCTTCAGGTGCTACCTAAGGGCCGAGACCGGCCGCCCTCAGAGCATCGAGCCGGGGCCTAAGATGAGCAGTCCTGAACTTCGCTTTTGGGCCTTCCATTTGTTTCAGTGGTTTTGGTTCGTGAAGCGAAGCAACTTGGTGCAGACAACTGGGGATGAACGCTGGGTGTCAAAGCCCAGCACCCCCTATGAAAGGTGGTTTTCAGAACGAATTCAACCGGGAACCTTTGCCTCGCGTTTGTGTTGGGGGCCCTTGGACTTATCCTCGCCTGTCACCGAGTTGCCTGTGAAGGTGAAAGGGCACGCGCCTGTGCTGCGCTAGGCGCGGTCGCGCGGGCTGTCGCGAACTGGGGATTGCCCTGTGCAGAGTTTTCGTAAAGTGACCTGATCTTGTCCTGGGAGCGAGCCAACATGGTTGAAAGGGCAAAATCGCGGCTTGAGCAGAGCTCGTGTTTCTTGGCCCGATCACGTTGTATTGGTTTTCTTTTTTGGGGTCGACTTGTATTTTTGCCTATTGGCATTTGGGGTACCTGCAAATAGCTGCAACCGCCAAGCCAGGGGTATGCCGCCAAGAGCTGCCAAGGGCGATCAGATGCCAGTTTCACCTCCTGCTGGGGCCATGATCGAAAGAGCCAATATACCAAAAGCGGGTTCATTTTGAGAGATACCGCATTTGGCCGAGCCATGTTCCTTCATCAGCCCTTCGGCCCACAGTTTTTACAGCGCAGGATGAATTGAAAGCTTGGAAGAGAAGCGAAGGGTCTCCACGTGACCTTGTTTGGGTTCCCCGCGTACCGATCAACCCGGTCGATCGGGTTCATCTCAAGTTAGGCCAAGCTATTGGATAGAGATTGAAATGAAACAAGCACACGCCCGGCTGGTCACTGTGGGGCCCGACGAGAGATCGATCCTTTGCGACAGCTCCTCAAAGAGGAACGCTTGCACAAGGCTAGAAGAACGTGGCTCCCCGCAAGAAACATAATTTCGAGGCAGCTCCTTCTGGGGGGCTCCTTTGTTGGCTTCCGTGTTGATTTCAGGGAGTAGTCTTTGCCCGTGGTCTGCATGTCTTTCTGCACGCAGTGCCGCGCACGTATCCCAGGGCAAAACTTGTGTGTCGAAGCAAAGGGAGCCAATATGGGTGTGGCTCAAAATTAAATAGGAGGGGTTTCGCAGGTTTTGGTCCATGTTTCCACTTACCAGGGTTCCATTTTGGGTACCGGTTTTTTGAGCCACAGCCATATGAGTCAATGGATGCGGTGCTCCTTTTGGCGTATTTGAGACCGTCGACGGTTGCTTCGCACGCCAAGCCGGCTCAGCACGGCAGGGGCACATGAAGAGCAAGCAGCCCAATCCCACCACTCAACCCTCAGCCGCCCCGTTGGCAGGCAAGCAGTTAGGCAGATTTTGTTGTAGGGCCCCAGTTGCAATCGAGCATTCCCAAACAAGGCCATCATGTGGGGCGGACGTCGCCATTCAAAGACTGCGAACAAACTGTCGCTGCAGCTCGCGCAAGAAGCGCGGAGCACGAGCGCGTGAAGCGCGGAGCGCGGGCCATGGGAAATTTTGGAAGCTGCCATGCCCCGCGGGGCGAGCAGACCGTGCGCACCCGAGTGCGCGTGCGCAGGCGGATCCAGGCGCGTTGGATGGAAATCGCCTGAAGCAACAAGCCATGATACAAAGTTTGCATGGTTGTGTTTCCCACTTGCTTCAAATACGGGTCTGTATCAAAATCGTCGAACCCCACAAACGGTTGTTTTCCTGTTGATTTCCCTTTACCCCAAAAACAATAGCCCCCAAGACTGCCCAAAAGCCGAACGTGGCCTTGAGCCGTGGCAGGCGTGGCTAGTGCTTAACCTGGCCCTGGGGAAGCTCGTTGCAGGCGCCTTCGATGAGTCTGCACCGTAAAACTCGCTCTGAAAACACGGCCCCGCTTCCCCCCACAGATGGGGGGCCAGGTCAAGCAAAGGGGTCTACGAAACCTAGAAAGGAAACAAGGCAAACATGAAATGAGTATGGGTCAAAATTAAACCACCAGGAATTGGACCGCAGGTTTTAGTCCTTGGTTCCATTTACCAGGGCAAGCCACTTTGGGGTTAACCTATTTTGACCCACAGCCAAATCCACTCCAAAGTTGCAGCAGAGATTTGGCTGGCTGAGGTGGCGCCGTCGCCTTCAGCCGGCCCAGCAGCGCCTTGCGAGCACCCGCGCGCTTCACGCTGACAGGCGAGCCACGAATCGGTGAACCGGAGTGCATGAGTCGCGGAAAGTGGAGCGTGATTTGTCCTTGTGGTTTCTCTTAAAACGAAAAAAATGGTACTCTCAAAAAAGACACGCCCAAGTGGACAATGATTGGGTTATTTGTAGCCTCCTCAAAGCGAACATAGGCCAGCGACCGGTTCCTCCCCGGCCGGTGTCGGGAGCCTCAGTACCGCTGAGTGACGCGTGCCGGTTGCCAGCTCACAAGAGTTGAGTTCCCAAAGCTGAAAATCAAAGGACGAGCCAACCCCCGGGCAAACCCCAGGCATTCGTTTGCAAAACAGAAAACACAACCATTCTTTGTTGAATGGCCAGGAGGAACTGTGCCAAGAAGCAACACCCTTACAAGCCTTTGTTACCGAAGGCTGCGAGGTACAAAGAAAGGAAGAAGCAACACAGTGAAGAGTTAGGAAGTCTCAGGCCTGTTGTTCAGATCCGCGAAGAATACGCAACACCCCCTTTGTGGCAGGCCCCGCAGCCAGCTCGGTCCTGCGCTCTCGCCGGGACTGGGAAAGGCGGCCTCGGACACCTTCTTAGAGCTGTTGGCGCCGGGCCCAAGTCAACGCAGATCAGGATTTTGTCGCAGTTTCTCATAGGTTCCGACAAAACCGCAGCTTTTTTCAACTGTTTCTCATTGCGGAGTTTGCTGCGCTTTGGCTTTGGGCTGGACTCGGTGCGATAGAAATTCGGCGAGGTCTACACAACTCTTTGGATGTCTTTTAGCCCAGGGCTCAGGGGCGGATGGGAGGGACCAGAGACGTTGCTGCAAACTCGGTGCTGAGGTCTTGCGAGCTTGGTTCCCTTTGTGCAGATGGAATGTGGGTGGAACCTCGACTGGTGCCAGCCTCGAGCCGAACACAAGGTGGACTTAAGCCATGACTCCGAGGAACACTACGGGACGTCTATGGTTTTGGGAAGAGCATGTCCCAAATCTCACCGCAAATTCCCCGTGGTGAGCATTGAACCGGTGGTTCGTGCTGTTTTTTTATATTTATTATTATTTATGTGGTAGTAGCCAGGTGCGGGTTCGACAACTTTCGGAGAAATGCGCCAAGCGAGACCCAAATCCGGAAGCGCTCGCGAGGCGCCCCTTCTGGGCAGCCGTCTGCACCTCAGCTGACGCACCGCCGGCGTTCCGATTGGAATGACCCAGTGATTGGAACGACCCAGTCGGTAGCAGATTGACCACGCGTGGCTCAGAAGTCGCAATGTGGGCTTACCTTTCGATCAACTTTTGCGGTCTGACTAGAACAACATTTTGATAGCTCGTGGGTCAAGGATCTGCATATACCTCGCTTTTTCAGGGCTTCAGTTCAACCGATTTTGGCTTTGGATGTGTGTCGCGAGGCGTCCGAGAGCGTCGCCGTCTACACGCTGGATCACTTGTCGGGGCCTAAGACAAAAGTGTTGAGGACACCCAAGCGGGCCGCTGGGCGGGGTCCCTTGAGTTTCGCTTCTAAACTATCCTCAAAACAAGCCCAACTGTGTCATGCTTCAGCCATTGGGTCATCAATGTACCAGCAAGCGTTTGGGCGCACACCGAGCGTTTCCGGAGAAAGGGAGCCATTCAGCTTCCGTTTGGCTTCCATGCCGTTTTTTCGCCGCACCCGTGTGGTGCTTGGGAAGTTCCTCCCCTTTGCTATTTGCCGGTGCCTTCGAGAGTTGCCTGGCTTTCCCCGCCCGGGACAGGCGTGACATCCGCAAAGCGACCAGAAGCACAGGAGCCAGAACATCAAGGGCTTTTTCTGTGGCTGAAAGTCTGGAACCATCAGGAGGAACCATCAGATCAGGCGCTGAAAACTAGTGAAACCATCAGATCTGGTGGAACTATCTTCTGTGGAACCATCAGGAGCTGAAAAGGGCAAATCTTGGAACCGTCGAAGTGGACCGCATCTAACCTTGGGCAGAGCTGTGTGTCAGGAGAGCACAAGGTGAGCTTCCAGAACGGCCAGGGGACCTCAGCTGGGGCGAAGCGCGAACGCGCTTGTGGTCGTTGCACAGCAAAGAGGCTGCTCCACAGAAAGGAGGAAACCCGCCTGACCCCAAACCTCCCAAAGTTATGTCCTTGTTTTGTTCTTCTTCCTTTTTCCGCGCCTTAAACCTCGTAAATAATCCTGAAACTAACTAATACATTTGCATATATATATATACATTTAGTAAAGACTACTCTATGCAAATAACAAATAGACCCATCTGCAATTTTTGATGATGTAATGATGTGCAGTATATTGAGAGATGGCTACATATTACCACTCTGGCGCCGCGAATTTAGCGCGGCCGAGTTTTAACGAGGCCTGGCGCGGCACCGCGTGTTGCTGCTGAAAGCGCTGCTGGGCGGCAGCACGCTGACGCTGATCGCCTCGCTGCCACAGCCTCAACAGAAGAACACTAGGGGTACCTTCCATTTCCATTCTTTCCAGGGATCCGAATCTTTCTAGAAAACCTCCGGAAACCCAGGGAGAACGGAGAACGGCGGGTCTTTGGGAAAGAACGATGGTTGAAAAGAATGGGGAATCAACCCCTAGCACACCGCAAGACGAAAAGGAGTTCAAACAAAACGACCCCAGAAAGGTACCTGTACAACAATCAGGTTGTTTTTGCAACCTGTCATGTTCTCGAAAGAAATGCCTATAGAGGGAAATCCGAATTGGAAACTCGGCCCGAACTTTAAGTGTGCCCCTTAGATTGACCCAGAGTATGAGGTGCATTGCTCGTTCCTGGACGGTCACACTGACCTTTCTAGGCTGGATGTGAGTTGCGCTTGAAAACCTGACAGGGACACGAGGGTCCCCAAAACCTCGGGCTTTCGGTGCCTTGAACATGGCTCCCAACTTGAAGCATGCCTTACCTTCCCCATGAGAGCCACTCACGCGAACCAGATCACCCAGGTTCATTCGAGTCCCTGCTAGAATTATGGCTGCTTGACTGTAAGTTTGGACATGGTCCTCTTTTTCAACTTACACGAAGCCCGAGGGAACTCTCTTCCTTTTGCATGTGCAACGAAGTTGACTGGGGTTCAGTCAAGCAACCGACAATATTCTTGGTGGTCTAATAGTAGTTTGCGGAGGACATCGGGGGCCCCAAATGCAAGTTGGGAAATCAGCCTCACTTTGCTTTATCATGTTGCGGGGATCATAAGATTCCTCGTTCATTCGAGGTTATCAGCCCGGCACGTCTTGCGCAGGGCACGTGGCTCTCTGCGCAGCGTACGCGAAGCTGAAGCGGTACATGCCGTACTGCAAGGCCACCTTAGGGATGTGTAAAAAGAGAAGCCAAATGCCCAACAGCCCAATGCCCAACAGCCCAACAGCCCAACAGCCCTCCTCTTAATTTTGCTGACTTGGTTTCAGTTTAAGAAGCCAAATGGAAGCCACTCCAATGCAAACAATGGCGAAGTTGGTCGAACTGACTGACTCTGCCAACCTGGGGAATCTTAAGAGTTGGACCTTTGTCACCTGGAGCAAAGAAGGTGTATCCGGAGGTACCTTCAAAGTGACGCATGTGGGCGGAGATTCCCGAGAAAAGAAGCGACTCCGCAGTCAATTATTTCAAGATCTGGGTGTGCCATTTTCAGGGGAATTCAAAGGAAAAACCATCTTATATTGTATGGGCCCCCTAAATCAAAGGACACTGCCTTTTAGCTGGTCCCCTCCCCCCCACCAAAAAAATACACGACACCCCCCTCTAAAGGAGCGCCCCAGCGCCAATGGGAGGCCTTCTTCGTGTCGGCCTGTGTGGTCTTCATGGCCCTGGCGGCGCCCAGCGCCTACGCCCCAGCGCTGCCGGGCGCCCCAGCTCGGTGCCGTGAGCTCGGGGATTCTTTGGGACGCTTTGAAGGAAAGATGCGGAAAGAGTTTCAATGGCAAAAAGGGGTATTCTGAATGGTCTTTGACTTGTGACTTGGGACTTGGAACGGATTCCTGTTCGTTTCCGAGCCCCATCCGCCCATCTGGAGGTTTGGCTCACTTAGCGCGGCTTCTATGGCCCAACTGACCGGGCCTCAGAAAGGAGAGTTCTCGAAGCTGTGCAGGATTTTACCCTTCCAGCAATTGTGTGTTGGCCCGAAAGCCAGCCCAAAGCGGGATGTCCAAGAGGGCTCACCGTGAAGCTGATGGCAGGGCCCACCTTCCCCACTACGCCTTTTCTTATCCATGATAGGTGGTGCGATGACATGGGAGCGCTGTCTTCCCCCTTTTGGAGCCTTTCAATCTACCTCCGGTCCACTTGGAACCTAACAAATCCGGGGCCCTATTTTCCTATACGGGGCCCCTCTGCTCTGTGGTTCCACGGCTTGGTTGCACGGTATGGGTTTCCTTTCTTCTTTCCCTTTTCAAGTCCACCTAAAGGGACAGTCTTCCCCCCGAGAAAAAATAATAATAAAGAAGCCAAGAAAAGACGAGGAGCCAGCCACCTGTTTGTTCCCTCGTCGCACCGGGCCCGGGTCTCGACGGATGGATTTCGATGGCCGATTTCCGATCCTTGAGGTTTGAAGCAGCCCTGAATTTTGTCACTGTTGGAAACTGCTGATTTGGCCCTAAACCCGACGACGTTCAATCAAGACTCCGCCCAAGCCTTTTCTGAGCAAAAAAACAAAGCCAGCCAAACTTCTTGTTTGTCGTCGAAACCGGGCCGATCCGGGTCTCGCTGGGTGATGGATTTCCGATCCTTTCCTGCAGGCTGCTGCTCATCTTTTCCGTGGCGCTGACCGTGGAGCAGCTGCAGGACCTGCGGGATGTGCGGGAGGACCTGGAGGCACAGGTGGTGACCCTGCCCTCGGGCCTCGGCCCGCGCCGGGCCAGGCGCATGAGCGGGAGCGCGAGAGAAAAACTCGGGGTCCAAAAGGGAGGTGCAGTTGGCTCAGAAATGGCTGTGGGTTAAAGCCAATGGTAGCATATTTGGGCTAGGTGAATTCACCACCCGTTTTCGTCTATTTTAGTGGGGATTGGGATGTTCACTGGGTGTACCGGCTTTTGACCCATGGCTAAATGGGGGCAGCTTGCGAGGGCTGGCTGAAAGAAGCTGCTTTAGCTGGTTTCTCAGTTTCTGGAGAAGGCTTGGAGAGGCCGGTCAGGGAAGGAAGGGATGGGCTGAAGAAGTCTCTTGAGCCGAGGGCTTGTGTTGAGATTCAGAAGGAGGCAAGAGGCAGGCTTGGAACTATTTCGGGCAGCTTAAGATTGAGGCAAGTACTCTCTGCAGGGTGAATAGAATCATATCTTGCAAAGGAGAAGCTTTGATTACCTGGATTGAATCTTAGACCTGTACGGTGTGTTCTGAAATCCTTCACGTGCGTTTGGTGCTCATTTGTATGAGTCTGGCACTAGTTCCGCGCCAAGCGCGTACGCCGTGAGGCAGCTGCTGCTGGGCTTTCAGGCTGCCAGCACGGCGCTGCATGTGCTCATCATGCTGGGGGCCGGGACCTCGTTTCCATGGGGCGCTTCCCGAAGGTCCACCTGGCAGCCCCTTCGACAAGGGGTGGTTTGAACGCCACAAAAGCAAGTCGAAGTTGCCAAGTCGATCGCGCCGCACCGAAGAATTCTGGGAAGGTGGGCGTGGGCCATGCGTGACGTCCAATGCATCACAACGGCCATGGGCCATCCGAAGTCCATCCCAGCAAGTTGGACATCATTTTGTTAGGCTTGAGTTGATGACCAAAGCTGGCCAAGGCACGTCTGCCCCTGCGGCCACACTTTCTTGCAGTGCACATGACATGCAGCCGGGGCACTGAGAGACGGGGTTCGCCGTGAAAAGGTCGGTGTACAGGAGAATCTCTAGTTGGCATGCTTTTTTCTTTCTTCCGCAAGCCCCCTTGCACCCATATTGCAATCCAATGGGATGCGAAAAGGGTACACACAAGGCAAATGGATCCAAGACATCAAAGAGCAGCTTGGGGCGTTTGGGATCGGACTGGGGTTGAGCGACCGCAACCAGTTCTTGGGAGGTGCCTCAAAAGGGCTGCTTGCCTCCGGATTGGGGACAGCCCTACGATCATTCAGGGGAAACAGAACAACTGCATCCCATATGCGCAAGTGCAACCCTCCGCGGGATATAAAGGTTGGTCCTCCAGTCGGGCAGCTGCAAGCACGCAACGTGGCCACAATCAAAGGCGCTCGGTTCTTCGGCTCGAAGCCTGAGGCTTGTGCGCGCTGAGCTTCACGAGAGACACACCACGCAGTCTTTTTCAGGCTCGACCGGAGACGTTGTCACGACGTCGGTTTTCCGTCGAAACCCTTCTGGCAAGGCCAAATTTGAGTGAGCTATTTCCAGGTGGCCCTCGCAGTCAGAACCACCCCGTCTCTTGAGTTCCACACTGTAGGCAAGAACTGGTTGTGTTTCAGACTTGACCGAGGGCAACAGGCACATGCATGAGCCAAAGAAAAGGCCTGACAATTGAAATGTGACGCTGGCAGCACTTTCCTGGCTTTGGCTCTCCTCAGCACAAGAACACAGGAGAGCGGGAGAGAAACGGAGAGGCGGAGAGAGAGAGAGAGAGAGAGCCCAGAGAGCAAACAGAGAGGTGGGCTCAATGAGTCAGGGCTTGGTGACATGAATGTTGGCAGATCTGGGTTTCTAGATATCCATCCGGAATCATGTGCCAGACTCAAATCCCTTTGCGGTGGACTTTGTGCTGGTATGAGTCGTACAAGATGTTTGGCCCCCAACCCTTGGTTGTCCAGAAACAGGGACTTCATTGCATGGCTGGATTGCACACAACATCAATTAGGGTACGCTTGTTTATTCAGGGCTTACGCAATGGGTTCTCGGATTGGTGTTCTTGTCGGGATATTGTTTACAGTTACTTAGTTACTTGCCATGCCGAGGTTTTGCTTGAACCTCTTTATGCACTACCTCTTTTGGCAACGATGCGCCCTGGCGATGAGATAGAGCGAAGAAGATCGACAAACTCGTAACCTGCACTCCAAGGATGCGCGCGTCTGTGGGGCTTTCGCTGTAAGGACTCGGGATGTTGCCACCAAACGCATCAGGCTTGGCTTGCCCACGCCAGGACACAAGCCTGATTCACGGATTCCGCCGGATTCCGAGCTGGGCCGATTGCCACCTAAGAGCTAGGTGATGCTCAGCGGCAGGGCCGGCCTCGCTTAAGCTAAGCCGCCGGAGGCTGAAGTCGGGAGTTGTAAGATGACTGCTCTTTGTGCCATGAAGCTTGAAACCTCCGGACACTAAGCACATGAGTCTGAGCAACGATAGGTAAGATTATGTGGCTGTGGGTCAAAAGTAAACCACAAGGGGACCGCGGGTTTTAGTCCATGTTTCCTCTTACCAGGGTTCCATTTGGGGTACCTATTTCTGACCCACAGCCATGTGAGCTGTAGTTCAATTCTCAGCCCATCTTTTTGGTGAGTTTGGACTTCCCTTGGCTTCAGTCCGCATGGCAAAGCCCGAGAAGGTTCTTGACCTTTCGGCAGCCAAGGGGTACCGCTGCGACGTGGCAGCGCAACTGCAGGGTCCGCTTCTGTACAGGGCCAGCAGACCGAATTCGTGATCGCGAGCCATGGTTGAGCGGGCCTTGAACTCAAGTGGAAAGCTGGAAGTCGATTGTCACATTGGCCTTGAACTCAAGTCGCTTGGTGGGTTTCTTTGGGCGATTGTTGCAAGCTGTAAGCCAGGCTTTGTGCAGCTGCAGATGTGTCGTCCCGGGCCCGCTCACCCAATGCTGTTCCAATGGCACGGTGTTCCACTGCGCCAAGTTCTGGGATGCAAAGGAGCAGCCTTGTGCTTCATCCAGAGAACACGGCTTGTGCTGGTGGACATGGACTGTACGCAGAACATCTCTCTCTCTCTCTGTTTAATATATATATATATATATATTTATATATATATACACATATGTATATATTGATCAGCCCTCCATGATCTAGCTTTTGCTTTTTGAAGTACTTTCACATAGTTCTCGTGTATTGACAGTACACATTTCTAATGCCAGACTGCCTAGCATCGTGGAGTTTATGAGTTGTAGAGTAATGTCTAAAATTCAGAAGTATGAACGTGTGTTTGCAACCCCCCTGACACCGGATTCTGGTCTGTGACATGGGGCCATTCCCCGCTAAGTTGGGCGTGCCCAAACAATGTAAATCAACACCGTTTTTTCACGTTCTTCCCCAACAGATGAAGCTCAGGGGTCTCAGCCCAGATAAGGTTTCGGGTTGGCTCGGGGGAGCTCTGGAGTCAGGTTCGAGTTTGGTTTTGGAGGCTCGGGGTGGTCTGGCGCGGTCTAGAGGTTCCAGAGTGGTTTGGCGCAGGCTAGGTGAAAGGTTCAAGCCGGTTGCCCGTCAGGGGTCCGGGAAGGTTGGGAGGGTGATGGCATTGAATCAACATGAAACGAATCACACACCTTGCGCCAATCCCGTACGCAGAACCACCAATATGCCTGTGTACCTTCCGTGTCTGTAGAACCCATACGGGTGTGGTGCTGTTGGGGATATTCACCTGAGCTTTTGGACACGTGCATAAACCGTATGTCAGCTCCACTTGACTCTTCCTAATGCAATCGCATAGTGCATTGAATAAAGACAATGATTCGCCTCTGTTTGTCAGGCTCTGTTGTAGCTGCCTGTCAGTCTGTCACAGGCTCTAAAGACTTTGAGCGGCCGCCCCAAGTCTCTTGGTTTTGGATTTCTCGAGTTTTTTTGTTTGTTTCGATTCCCTCAGTTTTTTTTTGTTTTTTGACCTTCCCCCTCAAAAAAACTCGTCATTTTCTTGTTTCTTTGGAAGGCCAGATGTCCACAAACCGCAAAAGCCTCGAGGGTTTTGGTTTGTCAAACAACACAAAATCTGAGGGAAACAGCATGTTTGTGCTTTTTGCTTTTCCCTTCTGCAACGTACAGAAAACCAACCAAAGGCTGTGTTTTTTGGTTTGTAGGCATTGCTGACCAGTTTTACACAGCGACCTTCGTCTAAGATTGGACTGAAAATAGGATTTTCTTACCAAAAAGGACTTTCATTAATCGCAACATTGTTTCTAAATAGAGCTCAACTTGGACAGAGTTGAGTTCGCGTTTCGGTTCTTAAAACAAGTCAATAAAGTTCCGATTTAAAGGCAATTCTTGACCTGGCTTTCCTTTCTTGTCTCAAGTCTCCTAAGGCTCCTGATAAGGCTCCTTAAAAGGCTCCTTGCAAGTCACCTCGTAAAGCTCCAATCAAGGCTCCTGAAAAAGCTCCTTACCAGTCAAAGTGTAACGCTTCTTGCAAGGCTCCCTTGAAAGCTCCGTATCAGGCTCCCTTGCAGGGCTATATTATTTTTAAAGCTAATAGCGAAGTTTATTTCTACAGGCGCGCAAATCCTTCTGCAGCTGCTTGCAAAGCTCCTTATACGGCCTCTTATGAAGCTCCTTACAAGATCATGCAAGGCCCCCTTTTCCAAATAGGATGTTAATTATTTTGAATTGTATTCAGAATGGGAATTTAGTCCTACCCAACCATTATTTTCATGGAAGAATTCGTAAGAAGAAAACAATTTAATAGCGGGGTAGTTTAAATGGAGTTTCAGTATTAAGTTACAAGATAAATATGTTTCCCTTCTCCAAAAGAATGTCGATTGAATATACTTAGAATGGAGTAGAACTTACTAACGATAGAATCTTGCTACAAATTCCACTTAAAACACACATTGGAATCGATTTAATTTTGCGGATGGAACAGAACACAGGCAGAAATTATATACGCAATGATTTGCATGTGATCAAGCTCCTTGTAAAGCTCCCCTCAAGGCTCCCTAAGGCTCCTTACTTTAAAGAAGAATTTGAGCACAATACAACAAGCAAAGCTGCGGTAACTTTTCTGTTTTGAAGAGGGGCCAAAAAGGCATTAAGTTCTCAGCATGGCTTCAACGAAAAATATTTCCAGCAGAACTTCACGGGGAAGGAGTTACGTCAGAACTGCCATTTGCAATTTGAGTTTGAATATGTGTTCCTTTCCAAATTGGTTTTCAGATGATGTTGAAATGGACATTGAGTGGAATTCAATAATCAAGAGGCATCTATTTTGGACCTTGTAGATGTCGCAACACGGACAGAGGTACAACGTGAGCTTGGATTTGAGGCAAGAGCTACATGCATTGACTGTCAAACGGAAGGTGTTGAACGTGTCTCGGTTATGCGCCAGCGGTAGTCGGCGCCGGAAGCCGGGCAGTAATTTTTTTGGACCTTGAGGCGGGTGGCTGACGGCCAAAAAGGTGGTGCGAGCTGCGACAAGGGGTTCATGACAATGGTTCCATGGGAGGTACAGAACATCAGATCATCATGGGACCCGGCAGAGTTCTCCAGTTGGACTCAGAGAGCTAGCACGCTGGGTTTTCTATTGAAGCATTGTTTGGGCAGACCGTATGGGACTGGGGATGGACGCGGGCCCCGAGATGCCAAGATGACCTTCGAATGCAACAACTGACCAGAAATAATCGCGGAGGTCCTTTTTCCCAATTAATTTAGACATGGCTCAGCACATGTGCTGAAGATAGCCACTGGCTAGTTTGGTATGCCTTCTGATTTGGCTCTTGTTGCACCGCACACGTGCAAGTCAGAGAAGAAACCATGTTTGCTGCACAGCATTTGGACAGCTTGCTATGACACGTGTGCGCACAGCCAGCGGACACAAGATGCCAAGGTGCCAAGGTGGCCTCATTGCTTTGAGCTGGGCAGCATGTCCAGTTCTCACTGCAATCACAGCTGTCTCCACTGGCCTGAGCTCATGCATGAGCGCAATGGAGACATCACCGGTGCCTCATGCGTTGCGCTTGCCACGTGCGCGGCCTGGTGTTGTATCGCCGTCAGTGCTGCCGAACCCTCGGACACCAGCTCGCTCTGACCTTGCCGCGGCCTGCGCGGCACTGTGGCTGCCACTTGACGCAAAGTCTGGAAGACGTTGCCTGGCGAACGTTGCAACAGCCAGAAAGCTAGCTAGCTGAACCATTGAAGCCCGTGCACTAGGCAGGTGCTGTGGCCCAAAACCGCAGGCTTCGGCGCGGCGTGCCGCGGCGTTCAAAGCCACGGGCCTCGCGGCTTTCCGTGGCCGCGCGGCGCCGTGAGTTGGCGCTGAGCTTCCTGCCAGGCGTTCGGGAGGGATGGCCCAAGGTTACACTTGAAACATGCTTCATCCAAGTCCAAATCTCCAGTGCCTCCCTTGTTTTGAAGTTTTGGGCTCTCATGTGGGTTCTGTCCCTATGGGTTATGCAATTAGAAACTAACACTCATCACTTGAGCATCTGATTTTCGACAGTGGTGAGATGCTGAGCAGCCGAACGGGATTCCTTCAGCACCGGATGTGTAAGAAAGTCTTGAGGCCAGCGAACAAAAGATGGAGCTGTGGCTCTTGAAAGTGAGCTTGGTCCGGCTGTCGTCCCAGGGCGAGCTGTCGCAGTCCGTTTGGCTTTTTGGGACACGGTGCCAGGCCCGGCTTTCGCTGAGACTGAGGCCGGAACTTGAGGGCGAAAGCAATGCAGCAGCCGAGGTGCTGAATAGAGCCCAGCGGAACAGGTGGATGTGAAGGTCATGCCAATTTCAACTCACCTGTTGTGATCTCATTTAGGTTTGCGCCATAGTCAGGGACCACTCGAGTATGTTCTGAATTCGAAATGCTAAGCGGATCCACTTGCTTCTCCGGCGGCAGGCTGACCTCGAGGCCAGTGTTGCGGCCGGCGCAGACCGGGAAGCGGGCAAGGCAGGAGCTAACGCATCGGAGAGCGCATCGATTGGCCGGGTGTCAGGATGTCGCCAAGCAACGGTTTCTGCTTCTATTGAGTCCCCATGTCCTTCCACAGGCTCACCAGAACGCCTGCAGTTTTCACCTCTGACTCACTATATGGAGCAAAGGTTTGCGATGGTTTGTGTGTTTAAACAGGGCAGCAAGCCAACGTCAAGCTCTGAAAGAGCTTTCAAAAGCCAATGAGCAGACATGCGCAGTGTCTCCAGGCTTCACCGATAAATCATATCATTCATGTTCCAGATGATTTGCCACGTAGATAACCAACACAGGGGTATGGTGTCTTAGTGCATGGGGAGGTCAGCCTTTGAGTGGTCGCGCCTTGGGCCATTTTGTGGCCGACCTGTACGTCTCACCTTCGAGGGAACCCTTGGGTGCTTTTCTTCCCCAACAGATGAAAGCAAATTAGGCTCTGGTTGGTGGTTGAGGCACGTTTGGGCATCTTTCAGGGTGGGTTCCCATGTTTCTTAGGGTTGATTCCCCATTCTTTCCAACCATCGTTCTTTTCCAAACCGGCCGTTTCCCTGGATTTCCTGAGGTTTTCTAGAAAGAAGGATCCCTGGAAAGAGTGGAAATGGAAGGTAGCACTAGAATGTTGATACTACCTGGGCTGCTTGTTCTTCGGAGGTGTCCGGCCATGCAGGTGCGGCGCTTGCTGGAAGACCCAGAGGTGAAGCTCATCCGAGCCTTGAGGGAAGGAATTGACGAAAAGGATCGACGCCCGATTTTCTGCCCAACCTTTTGCGACAAGAGAATGCACCCCCTTTACATACCAGTTTTTTTCTTCTTTTTCCGGCTTCCTGCAAAAGCGCGTATATGGCCGATTTTGACATCTACCGAAGGCTGTCCCCATACTCGTCAAGCGAGCAATTGAATCGGCAAGCGCTTCAGGGTTGGTTGCAGAACCGGGCGCTAACATAGCCCCCCAGGAAGTCAACGGAACGTGGCTTGAATGCTGGTGGCTTAAGCCTTTCAAGTGGCACAGCCCAAGTGGATGCATGAAGATTAGTTGCCTGCCTGGTTATTCAATGAGTCATTTACATCTCTTGGGTCCTGAGATGATTCTCCAATCATTTCCCTAGATCGGGGCTAATCAGGACAGCTGCAGCAGCGCGCGCAGCTCTTGGACGGCCGAACCTTCCGCCCACTGCAGCTGCCCTCGCTGCTGCAGAAGGGCAGTCCTTTGTGGCCTGGAGAAAAAACTTTTCGGCAGAAGGAGTTTCCAAGTTCTGGGCGAGTCCCTTGGCTTTTGTTGCAATTGATCACCGAGTCCAAGTGCTCACGAACATGTTTAAGCAGTGGTTCAGGGATGCGTAAACAGCGGGTTGGACCGACCTGCTTCTCATCGGCCAGTCATTCTTATCAAGTTGGACAGATTTCTGGGTTGGTGATGACATGTATGGCATGTAAGGTACGACGCAGACGTGGTTTGCGTGCGCCACTCAGCCGACCTTGGGCAGACAGCCAGGCCGGCGATCCCTGGGATCGCTGGCTTCCGAGGTTGGGGAGATCCATGACTCGGAGGCAGATCATGCGATGCAGCGGCTCCTGATCGACGCGTTGACGTGCGCCCGCATTGTGGTCTTGATGGTGAAACCCAGGAGAAGCCAGACATTTTGGGAGAGACGGTCAAAAGCGTTGCTTTACTTGTCCTTGCTATTGATCCTGGTCATCCGTCTTGCAACATAGCCGCCCCCTTTGAGACTTGCGTTGGTCGTCATTTTTTGGAGCTGGGTCCAAAAAGGGGAGTAACGAACAAAATGGGCCCTGATTGGGCTAGGATTGCTGAAGCAATGCTTCCCCCTTGTGCGAGGGGGAGGGACTGAGAACAACCAAGAAGCGGGCAAGGCGCATTGCTGCGGGAGGATCAAACCGAAAGACCAAAACCAACAGGGCCAAGGGAACAATGCCCAAGTCAAATTTCAACAGGTCCTCTACATCATGGTGAAAACCGGGGGCCTTTCAGCAAACCCCCCCCTTGAGGTACGCGCTCTTTTTGGAGCTCAGAAGCTCCGAGGGCGTGGACCCCAGCGCGCCACGCGGGCGCACGCCCCAGCCCGGGGGCCCGGGGGCCCGGGGGCCCGGGACCGCGACCGGACAGCGTGGCAAAGCCGGGAGTGGACCCCCAGAAACAGTCGAATGCGGGGAAAAGTTGTGTTGGATTTTTTCTGAGGCTGACCTCCCCGAAACAAGATGGGTCGAATTTGAATGGTTCTAGCGAGTCTAGGGATGAGAAGCCGCCAACTTGCGGCTGTCGCCCCCGAGTTTTCGAAGGCATGAGGTAGCCCTCCGCCCTGAGGAATCTGTCAGCTCAGAAGCTGGCCGTGGGAGTGGCCGCTCGCTCAGATAGTCAGCGCCATGCCCAAATTCCAGTCACAGTTGAGCGGACTCTGCAGGCACTGCTACTGTTGTGGGGGGCCACACTGGATGGTGAGCTTTCTCAAGGTTTCCAGAGCAGTCCGAACGCAGTTGCTCGGCTTCCTAACTTTGCGAGGAGTACTTCTCCCGTCAGCAACAGCCGACTTTGGACGGCCTGGTCTTTGACAAGAGTCCCGATGGGCCGGGGAGTAGTCCCAGCAAGTTCAGGCACCTTGGACAGACATGGGAAGCCGTCATCTCCAGCTTTAACCGTGTTGACACCTGCATGGTTACTATTGAAATCGCTACGCGATCCGCCGACGCCAGTGGACAGTCCCCTATTAATAAACTGGGATGTCCCAGATGCTGAGGATGCTGGAAATGCAAGGGATGCAACCACACAACATACAAAAACACACCCGATCTTTGCATCCAATTTTTTAAGACTTTCAGACACGCAAAATTGATCCCCTTAAGAATAGACTTCCAAACGCACGATAGTGCAGGGGATGTTTCGCAGTAACTGCTCCGTACAGGTGGGGAATTGCAAAAAAAACACTCATTTTTGCAAATTTCAACAGTTCCTCAAAGTATCACTGCACTTGGCCCCACCCAAACCCCTAACAGGCCAATTTCAAGATCGCTTGAAACAACAAAACACCACTAGTATTTGCGAAAAAAAAAAGAGACACATTCATGGCAACAGGATCATCCTGATGATGCTGGGGATGCAGATCTTGTGCGTCCGGGGAAACCCCCTATGGACACAGGCAAAACGCATATTTTTAGCACGCAAGACCCAACCACACTGGAAAAATACAGGGTTTTGGACACCCAGCGCAGCATGCCCAAAAAGTAGCAGTCCCGAAAGCCTTCGGCTTTGATAAGAAATTCCGACGGAAGACCAAGTTGCGGACTGCCATCTACACGCTCGATTGGCGTCGGCGGATTTGCTTAAGCACCCTCAGGCTGACGAGTGTGAACATGTTGACCAAAGCGCAGCCCAAAAATCGATTCATCTGTGGAACGGAGGAAACGACCCCCCCCTTCCCAGTCACCACACTCGCATTGCAACCTTGGGCCGGCACGGCGCGCATGGATTTTGCCCATTGGGAGAGGCACCTTCTCAAACCCCGAATCGAGAACCTCTCCCAAAAGTGGTACTGGATCCAAATTTTGCATACGCGAATGGCCGTGGCTCAAAAAGAGAAAGGGCGCCCAAAGTGGCATCTTGGTATTCTTCTTCCACACGGCTAAGGCGCTCAAAGTGGCATCTTGGCAATATGGAAACAAACAAAGAGACTACAACCTGCTCAAAGTGGCATCTTGGCACAACCTGCGTACCCCTGCCTTAGTTTCGGAGCCATCGAATCAGCCGCCAAAAAATCCAGTCGCAGCGAGGCAAGCCTGCGACTGGGATCGGGTCTGGGCCTATGCCGCAAGCCCAGTGTGACCGCTTTGCCTCACATGATTTTGGGGGCCGAAGCGGTTTCCAACAGGTAGCTCATCCATCAGGTAGCCGGTTCAAAGTGGTTTCCATTTGAATTGAACGTCCAACAAGTAGTTCATTGTCCTGAAACTGGGACCTTGGCAGCCCCCTTCTAATGTTTATCGATGCGCTTAGAATTTCTTTTCCCTGGACAAAGCCTTCTGAGAAAAGTGGGAGAGCCAGTTGCCTAACTTTGGGAAATCGAGAAGTCGACCCTGGTCCTTGGTTTCACCTCGCTTCCCTTCCCCAGAGTTGAACTCATGCCAAGACCTCGGGCCAAGCAAGTGGTTTCCACTTCGCTTGGGGATGAAGGTGGGTATTTGTCTACACCTGTGTATCAGCGGCTACCAGCGTTGACATGGACAGTTTTGGGCACAGGCCCTTTGGCCTGGACTTCCCCCTGATTTGGTACTGGGATGTAGGATTCGGGATTCAGCTGCTGATTGGGAGAATCTTGTTGGGGCCATACATGACAAAATATGCAAAAACAATGGGGTTGCACCCGTAAGCCAGGCAAGTTCTTGGTTTGTCGAGTGAGAGGCAGGTCCATCCTTGGCCAAGCATCCCTGCGCCCAAGATCCCCAAAGCTGTTGAGGTCTAAGTGCCTATTCTGGTGCCAGTGCACTTCTTTATGACAGGTCAACAGGGAGTGTTGCTTGACACGGAGCGCTGGGACTGTGCAGGGAAAGTAGGCGGAGGAGCTTGTCCTGCGCGCCCAGCGGCTTTGCTCGACAAAAACCGACGTCATTTCGGCGTGATGGCCACGCTCTTGGACCCAGGACTGGAACCTCTACGCCCCGCTCTTCCGCTTTTGCCGCTGGTCCGACACTGGGCCCCGGTTGGTCCATCTTAAGCACGAAGGAACACGCAGGAATTGCTGAGGGAAGAGCTGTGGCCAATCAAACAAGAACGTTGAGAACTAGGTAACCACATGTTGACTTCGCTAGCAAGAACTATTCCTTTCACAGTGCCAGTTTCCGGCAAGCCGAGCATGCAGGGTGATGCGCTACTGGGCAGAGGCCAGTTGAACCTCAACCGCATCGTGGGACTCAACCTGCCCCTGGAGGCCGTGCTCACCGTGTCTCGAGGCGAACCACACCCGCTCGCCTTTGATGTGGGTCACAAGCGCTGTGCATTTTATGCTTTTAGCGAAGCAGAGCAAAGCGGCAAAGCAGCAAAGTAGCAAGACAAGAGGGCAAAGCCAAGCAAACAAGGCGCAACTTGGAGAGCCACACACTACAACGTCAAAGCCCGAAAAACCAAAGCAACAGTGCTAGGCCAACATCAACAAAGGCCAAAGGCAAGCTACAAAACGAACGGGCAGCAAACAAACACAGCTCGAGCACAGTCGGCAGGTGGCCTGGACTCGGCACCCGAGTGGCTGCGTTCGCAGCTGCCGCCTCTGGACCTCGAGCAGCTGAAGCACCGGCGCCGCTTCGAGGACATGCCCGGAACCCCGGCAGCCTCGGGGGCGCCACGGAAGCTTGTTTGGACCGGGCGAATGTGGCGGTGACCGACGTCAGGTTGCGGATGCCCCTGGAGAAAGCTGTGCAGAGGCTTCCAGCCTTCGTCACGAGCTCACTTTGCTTGTGGGTGCCAGGATGAGCCTTCCCACCTCAAGCTGGTCCCCCAAGGAGGAATTGCAGCTTGGCAGCAGAAGTGCACTGCCACATTTGAGCATTTGACAGCGGACAGCTTGTTTTGCAACCTCTGCGAGGAACAACATGTACCAAGTGCCCTGGCGCTTTCGTTCGCTGTGCGTTCGCGGTGCACTTGCAGTACATTCGTGCGATGGAATGCTTCTTTGTGCCGGCCGCTTGGGTTTGAGCTACGCTCCGAGGCCCAAGTGCTGTGGGATGAGTTCATGGCCAACACGGTGACACGGCACGAGTTAGTTGGCCGCTCCATTTTTTTGCAGTTTAGTGGTCATGCGGTCTAGGACAAATGTATGCAGGGTGGGCTCCCCATGTCCACAAAGACTCCACTTGTTCTTTTTGGTCGTCGCAAGTGACCGGTTTCGGCATGGGTCGGCCGATACGCTAGGCGCTGCGCTACGTGAGCGACGTGGGTGGCCGGCTGGTGGTGCTGGCGGGCGCCAACCACGTCTGGCGCGACGCAATTCCGGATCGCTTCGAGGCCCAAGCAAGACGAGGAGCGCTTCGCATGCTATGCCTGCTCACAGCAGTGAAAGCCACACGGCCAGACCTTATAGTCCTAGTGCATCTCATTTGCCTCTTCTGGAAAGAGGTGCTGCTCCCTGAGTGATTCGTTTGTGTCTCGAGTCTGTAGGAGGGACCGCGCGAAGGGCGACCACAATCGCAGCCTGGCATGCTGCATAGTGCAACAACTGGCATTTTGTTTGCATGGAGCACTGGGGGGGATGGCTCGTCACATTGCTAAGGTGCCGTGGAGGGGCAGTGGCTTGCCACCCGCAGGCGTGGCCAGTGCGTGAAGATTAGTTGGGACCGTCCGTCCCCCCAAAAAGGTGACCTCAGAAGAGTTGGGTACGCAGTCTCAACAAATGGAGGTAAAAAAGGGGGCGGGGCTTCAAAATGCTTCCAGAGTAGGTTGATGTAGGTTGTGTGATCCTGTCGCAAGGCGCTGCGGACTATTTGTGGCAGATGGATGGCCCAGGGGGTGGCGATGAACTCGCCGCAGTGTCTGGGATGAAAAATTGGGAGTCGCTTTCAGATCTGACAGACTTCTGTTGGACATGCTTGTTTGTTGTTGCCTTCAAGGACGCTTTAGGGACAACTGGTTCTGGCTCGTACCCAGAACGATGCGTCTTAAGACACGGGACCCCAACAGGTTGCCTTGCTTTTGGCTTCTTGTCCAAGGAGCCCCTTGCCAATGGTTCTTGGGTCAACCCCCCCAAGAAGAATTACACCGAAGACCCCAAACCGTTTAAACCAGAAGTGAAGCATAGACCGCGCCCCAGGGAGCTTTCCATGGCCCAGTTAGGACCTGGTCGGCAAGAACCTCAGGCCCGTCACTTCACACCTCAACCTCGGACCCTGGACCTTGGTCTCCGAGGTGAGCAGATTGCCTCTCCAAATGGCCGTCCTTTCACCTTGTCTCGGCTTAGAAACATCGAAGCGCCTGTCTTCGTTCAGTGCACGGGGGCAGATGTTCGAAGTCCTTGCGTAACAGCTGTGTTCTTTTTCCTCTGCATCTAGCAGGAAGGAGATCATGCCCTGCCCTGCCGTGCCAGCATCACCTGTTCTTTACGTTGTTCTCGGCCGAGAAACAGCTGCCCATTTCTCAACGCAAAAGGGATGTCCCTCTTGGAAAACCAATCGTGCTGCGGTTGGATTTTCTCTTTCGGGAAAACGGCTAAGATATGCACCAATCACCTTATTGGCACAGCCCCGGGCAAGTGTGGCGCAAACAACTTTGAGCCCAGCACACGAATCGGAGCGTGTTTGGCTTCATTTCTTCGCATGGCATTTTGTAAACCAGGTCTCTCCAAATCAAGGCGGCCATTCCCAATGCTGCTAAACGGGCTTAAGCTAAACTGTAAAGCGCAATTTTAAGCAAAAACTGCTTGCAGTGCATGTGAAGGGAGACGAGGGCAAAGCAGCAGCACCCCGCTGACCGGCCTGCAGCGCATACAAAAGCAAAGCAAGGGGAGACCACCCGACCCCAGCTGGCCAGCGGCACATATGAAAAGAGACGGCGGATTGAGGGAGACACAACGGAGAGACAAGGCAAGACAGAGCAGCAGGCGCCCATCCGACCTTATAAAAGCGGCGCCGGGTTAGAGGCAAGCAGAGAAAACGGCATGAACTTGTCCGACCTCTTGCATGCAGCACATGTGAGACAAAGGGAGACAAGTGCAAAGAGCGCCAAATCCTCGGGAGACCAGGAAGGCTGGGGGGCCAGCCTCAACCGGCCTGCGCCGCGGAGACGAGTCCAGGAACCCATCCAGCTTCGACCTGGCAGTAACTCCGTGGCGAGCACGTGTGGTTTTAAACAAATCAAGAACCCGTGGAGTAAACTCTACACAAACATGCGCTTCAAAACTGGACCTACGTCTAAACCATCAGGTAGGTACATGCAGAGTCACGAGCTCCGACCTCATTTGCTCGACCCAAGGTGCCTTTTGCACTGAAACCCTGGCATCCCCTGTGTCTGACTTGCTTTAAATCTAGGAGCCCTTGCAATGTAACATTTGGTTTCCTGGAACCAGTCCCAAAAGGAGTACAACTGGGATGTTGCTTGTGAGTTGCCGGTGCCTGTGTTTGCGCCGCATGAGGAACTTCGGGCGCAGCGCGAGCGGTTGAAAGGCAAGTCGAGGGTCTTTCCAGCCGGCTACATTTAGCGGAAAAAGGTCCGCGCCAGCTAAGCTGATTGCCAAGCTTGCGGCGCAAAAGAACTTTGACAGATTTCAGAAGGGGATATCGGTGCTTGGGAGAACTGCTTGAAGGAATATATTGGTTTGGGCTCCAGGACGGGGGATTCGTGAGCAGGGACAATCCGAACCTCAGACATGTTGCATGCCATGGTTGCCCGCAAAAGCAAACTGCCGGTCCCAGATATGGATCTCATGAAACAGGACCCTTGATGATTTTTCTGGCTAGTGCCCAGAGCAAGTCAATCAATTTTTCCAAGACGTGCTCTTGCATTTGGCTCAAGCTGGATTTGGACAGACGACATTCGCAGGCGTCAAGGCGCGCGATTTGATCAGCTTTGGCTGATTTAGGCAGACGCTGGCGCTGTGAGTGCATGTGGGGGAGTTCCAAATATGGCCACCTCTTTCTGTGAATCCATGCCATTGGTCGCCCGACATGTTGCACGACTGCCCTCTTGGCTCAACGCAGAAACCGCAAAACAGATTGGTTCGAAACGAGCTTCGAGAGGTTCGCAAGGTTGACAGCTGAAACTCGCATCTGGCACGCAGCTTGTGTCAAAGCGGCGTGTTGAATCTGTCGGGATGCAGCGGATGGGGTTCCATTTGGCTGACGCGTTCCAAAAAAAGAACGGTGAGGCGCGGCGCGATTTACGGAGACGGATTTGCGCTTTTGCATCCATTTTCCCACACGGGTTCCTTCATGTTCATGTTCACATGTATTCGAGCTTCACCCTTTTCCGTGATTTGGAATTGAGATTCTTAGGCGCGCTGATGCTTGAAAGGGAAGTTTGTCTTGCCCACGAAGCGGGTTGGCAGGTTATGGCGTGTGGCAATATGCGGACTCGCATATTTGAGTGCAAGGCGGAGCTGCTTGCGCGGGCAGTCGTGACTAGCGCGTTGCCTGTGAACGTGTCAGGAAAACTGTTTGGATGCCGGGGCAACCGCAATCATGATGAGGCGGGGCGAACGCAAATTGGCCGATGCGGCAATTAGCTGCCAGCATCGCTTGCCATTCACAGGCCCATCGCACGTGTTGTGTGAGCCGGTTTAAGTTCGAATCGGCTTCCCTTAGTCCACACTCTATCCCTTGGCAACCAAAAACCGCACACGCAAGGCAAACATGGGCGTCAAGCGGCATTTTCTCAGACGGACATGGCAGGCGCTTGCCCGCCAAATTCGGCGCAGAGTCGCTTCTCCAAGTTTTGGACCAGATCGCCAAAGGCGGGGGCCCGAGTTTCAGCTCGGTTGGGAGGCGCCAGGGGCCGGGAAGGCGGCGAATTTTCTGTTTCTCAGGCAGCTACGACTTCGTCTACGTGCCCCACGACAAGCGGAAAGATCGCAACCTGTCTCTTGCCTTCATGAACTTCGTCGATCACGAGACTGCGCAGTGCCTCGACTTCGGTCAAAGGAATCGTTTTCATTCTGAGACATTTTCGAGGTGTTTCTTTTTGTTGTTGGAAGGAACTGTCCCACCAAAAAATCCTAGTGGTGACACCGACATCTCTGCGTGCCCAGGAAGGCCTTTGAGTTCTTCCGAAATGTGCAGCATCCATCGATGGGGCCAAGTGTGCGAGTATCACAGGCCGGCAAGTAGGTCGCATAGTCGCAGTGCGTCCTTTTTTCGAGGGTACGCCTTTTTGGTGGGGCCAAAAAAGGACACCCACGTGAGCGAAGGATTCGCCTGTACTCGATTTGTTCGTTGCTCGAAGTTCAGGCGGACATCCAGGGCTTGGGCAACAACCTCGCTTACTTCCTGGCCAGGCCTAGCGTCCAAGCGACCATCTTGCAGCTTTCGTTCCTTTCGTCACTTTCTTGGCTGATCCAAAAGTGTGCTCCCGAGGTTTGGCCTGCAGGAGATGAACAATCCTCATGCACCAATGATCTTCGAAAACGGGGCTCGTTGTGAAAACATTCTGGAGGCGCTCAGTTCTTGTCTGAGCTGTGGAACTTCCAGTCGGGATGGCAAAATGTGGCACGAGGCAGTGAAGCAACACGTCAGCTTGGAGCTGCTTGTGCAGGCCAGATGGGCTTGACTGGTGTTCAACAAGAACTTCCGTTGAAACTAATTGTGACATGCATTGCACATGAAACAGCTGAGACTATTCAGCTAGAAAACGCGAGATTGGGCTAGCCTTGGGGGCGGTTGCGGACACTCGGGTTGACCTTCAACAAACTTTGTGGATCGAATATTCAGCTTGAATGATGTACTGGCTCACTTTCGTGGGGTCCTTCAGCACCGTGCTTGTTCATTTCTCATCGGCTAGCTTTCTAGATAGAGTCTATCGAAGCAGTCTCCAAGCAGCAGTTTGGGTAATTTGGGCGTGTTAGCTGGCTATCCGCGAACTAACCAGCTAGCTGACCAATAAAGCAGCTGGCTAGCTAACCTATTTAGCCAGTTGCTCAACTTACTTACCCTTGAACTAGCTGCATACCTACCATTTTGCAAACTAACTGACTAGCCAAGTAAGTGTTTAAGTATCTAACTCTCTAACTAACTAGCTCACAAGCAAATTGGCTATCTAGCAAACTAGCTGATGGAGCAACAATCAAACTCCACAATCTTGCTCACTCTCCGAACTAGCTAGCACGCTGACCAGCTCGAACTGGCCAACTACGTAACCGGCTCAACAGCGAATTAAGTAGCTAGCGATCTAACCAGCTAGCTAATCTAACCAGCTAGCCAGTTGGCTCACTCTCGAACCGCAAGCCAGTCAAATGCCTAGCCGAGTAATCATTGAGCAGCCAAATACCTGGCTAGCTACAACAAGCTAACTAGCTCGCCAACTTAAGCCAGTTTTTTCATTTAGATGGCCAAGCTGATCAGGGTGGCTAACGAGTAAACTAGCGAACTCAACTTCACACTTGCACCCATGTTGTTAGTGTGCGTTGGTTCGCGTTTTCACAGACGGCAGACAGGGTGACTATGTTTGTTGGAATGTTTGGAACTCTGCCGGATGACGTGCCAGGTCAAAACACATTGGCATGAGTACTCAGGGTTGGCAGAGCTGGCCATGACCCTTTTGGGGTAGACCTTCACAAATTTCATGAAACCGTGACCATGACCGCAGCATATTTTACTGTGCGGGAGCTAACATCAGGGATGTTACTGATGCATTCGGTGAAGGTGCACGGTTGCACGGTTGCAGTGGCTCAGATCTGCCGTTTGGCCGTAGGCGCACAGCAGAATGGAAGTGCAGCTGCAAAAGAAAACAGCGCCTCAGACAGCAATTTGGAGAGAAGGGACGCCGATTCCGACCGCTTTGCCGCGGCTTCTTCTTTTCTTCCCCAACATCTGAAAGCGATAGGGTCTTGGCTCAGATAGGCTGCGGGGTGGTCCGGCTCTGAGGTAAGGCTTTGCAGGGTTCCGCGAGGGTTCTGCGAGGGTTGCAGGGGTTCTGCGAGGGCTTTGGGGCATGCACGGGGCGGTTCGAGGAGGGTTGTTCCGCGAGGGTTCCACGAGGGCTGAATAGGACCGAACCGTTGCGAGGGCTGTTCCTGTGTACCGAACCCATACAGGCGTGGTGCCTTATTTTTCCCACGGCCGCCCTTACTATCAATGGACAGTGTTTGATGAAACCCATGCGGGGCTACAGAGCTTCGCGGATGGTAAGCTCATTGGGCGCGGGTAGCAACTGGATCCCTGTGTTCTTGGCTGCGCAGGTCTTGTCGCCCTTAACAGGGCCGTGGCCAGCTCAAACGCGCGAAGGTCAATGTGTGGTTGAGCTGGGAGGAGAGCACTTCGCCGCGCGTTCGCAAAACAGCGTGCTCGCAGCGGCCTGCTTGAGGAAGGATTGAGTGACGCGCTGCGCTGGGTTTTTTTGCGTCACGACTCTCCGCAGAGATCGGCGTGGTCATGTGCAAAAACTGAGGACGTGCTCGTCTTTTTGTTTTCGCGGCGCAACCCTCTCTCTGCGGATCTGAGGACTTTTGCTACTTCTTGATGCTCGCGGACGACTCTTTGGAAGTTAGCGCGCAAAGTACACTCCCGCAGTTTCAGCTTTAAAATCACGACCTTGAGCACAGAGGATTTTGTCGCAAAAAGCCGGACAAGTCCTCAGCTTTTGCGCACCGCGCCGATCCCCGCAGAGGGTCGTGCCGCAGAAGGTCGAACAAGGCCTCAGTCTTTTCTCAACGATCCCGCAGGGTTGCAATCCATCCTTATCTATGATGAGCACACGCTCTCTGGGCAATCTGCGCAGGTTCCTGCGCTCAAGCTGCTATGTGCAAGTCTCTTTGCACAGGTTCCTCTGTGCAAGCTGCTCTGCGCAAGTCTCTCTCTCTGTGCAGGTTTTTCTTTGCAAGTTGCTCTGTGCAAGTGGTTCTGCGCAAGTCTCTCTGTGCAGGTTTCTCTGTGCAAGTTGCTTTGCGCAGTGGTTCTGCGCAAGTGGCTGTGTACAAGTGGCTTTGTGCAAGCGGCTGTGTGCAAGTGGCTTTGTGCAAATGGCTCGGTGCAAGTGGCTTTGTGCAATGGCTGCTCTGTGCAAGTGGCTGTGTGCAAGTTGCTCTATGCAAGTGGCTGCGTGCAAGTGGCTCTGCACTAAGTGGTTCTGTGCAAGTGGCTCTGCGCAAGTGGCTCTGCGCAAGTGACTCTGCGCAAGTGGCTCTGTGCAACTGGCTCTGTGCAACTGGCCTGTGCAAGTTGGTTCAAGGGCTCCGCCAGCGGAACAAATGAGCCCCTGAAACTGGTCGCAATAGCGCCCGCGGAGCACCCCACATAAGTGTCACCCACAATCCCATGATTCTGGAGCGAATTTGCAAGGAAACGTCGTTGGGAGCCCTGAAGCTCCATGAAGCGATTACTTGTTGATCCAAGTGGGGATTTGCCAACTCGGCCCGAGTGAAGGTGACGAAGCGATCTGCGCAGCGAGGTGGCGAAAGGCCGGCGACGCAGAGTCGGACGAAGGTTGGCCAAACCAGTGCGAATGCTGATTTTCCGGTTTAAAGGCGGGGGCATGTGGTTTTCTTTTTTAAAGGGGGGGTCGTGATTTTATGATCCCCTGTTGAAGTGTTCTCTGGTTTTCTTGGGTCTGCAAAAGGCACATTTTCATCTTCTGACTTGCGCTCAAAGAGGTTCAGTGTGTTGGGGCATGTTGGGGCGATGCCGAGGACAAGTCAAAACCGCGGCAGGCAAGCTCTGGCACCAGATGCGGCTCAGGTGTGCGCTGGGGCGCATAGAATGGGTGTGTTCCAAGAGGAAAACCACCAAACAGGGCTCTCCCCACAAAAGACAAAGCAGTCTATGGTTCCTGTTGCCAAGGCACCGGGCAGCGCAGTTCCTTGCGAGAAGACGTCATTGAACACAGGCGACGCGGCGAGCGCAGGGTTTTTGTTTTGAGCTCGTGACCGCGACGCGGGCCAGGACAGATGGTGATTGACCCTGGTGATGTGGCTGGGGAGACTTGGCAGCACTGAGGTTGCAGTTTCCGCAAGCAACGTTGCAGTCCCTCATTTTTTTCGGAGAAGCCTTTGCCACCGTTTCCTCCTCGCGTTCTCCTTGTTGCTGCTTGGCTGTTGCTGTTGTCCTGCCTGCCTTTCACCACTGTTTTATTGTGTGCTTCTGTCGTAGTTGCGCTTTGCAGCCGCTACTTCTGCAATAGAGCCAGTATATAATCTTACCTAACATCGTTCGCGCTCGGGGCCCCCGTTCTTGCTTTCAGCCAAATCAGCTCGAAGCTTCGCTCCGCTATCCATGAAATCGTGTCATGCGGAACGAAGGATCTCGACAGTTCAAGCCAGTTTTTCTTCCAGGACCGATGGGGCCATTCGAGAGACCGACTGCGAGAGTCCCGAAAGCTGGCCATGGGTGGACAGCATTTGGCTGAGACCTTGTCCTTGTTTGGTGCTGTGGCCAATTTCAATCGTGAGAGCATCAGCTTGCGAGGAGGAAGATGGGCGAGTCAGTTTCTTCCTTTAAAGCAGCTGCGCGGATGCAGAAATCGGTTGTTTGCACCGCCCCGAGTGGCTTTGGGTTCACTTTGAGGCTATTTGCCCATATCGGATCCCGAAGCCCTTCATTGCTATCATAGCAAGGGTTCAACCTCTAAGTGGGATAACGACCAGAGCCCAAATCAACATTTTAAAACCTCAGTAGCCGTAACTTGGTAGAGTGAAAAGTCATGTGAAGTTCAGACGACCGACTCGTGACTGCAGCCCAGGCGGTTGGCAGCGAAAAGAATACCGAGGCGAGAGTCTCAGGTCTTTCAAAAACAGGATAGCATTTTTTGGGAGACATGATGTTACCAGGCCGCGGGGTTTTGGGTCATGTCCTACCTTCTCTTTGGTTGTTGCAGTGTTACAGCAGCAGCTTAGGAGCTCCCTAGGCTGAAGTCTAGCAATGAGCTCCTCACAATCCGCAGAAGCACTCGCTCAAGAGTCCCCGCTCAGCACTACACATTCACCTGCAAAATCACAAGCACACCCGCTCAAGAGCAACCGCCACGTAGAGCACCCGCTTGGCTCTGCACACACACACAGAGGAGTGCATGCACGCGAGCACGCACCTCACGCACGCACCCGCGCCACCGACACAGAGACGAAGACACAGAGACAGATACAGATACAGAGACAGACATAGAGACGACGGAGCGAGAGAGAGAGAGAGAGCGAGAGAGAGGGAGAGAGAGAGACAGAGAGAGAGAGAGAGACACGGAAAGAGAGAGAGATAGAGAGAGAGAGAGAGAGAGCGCGAGTGAGAGTCACAGAGAGGGAGAGGGAGAGAACGAGACATAGATATAGAGACAGAGACAGAGACTCAAAGAGAGAGACTCACAGACAGAGCCAGAGAGAGAGAGAGAGAGACACGATGAGAGACTCAAATGGAGACAGAGAGAGAGGGAGAGAGAGGCACAGAGAGAGAGCAAGAGAGAGAGAGACAAGCAAACACAAGCGCGCACACACACACACACACACCAACACAAACACAAACAACAGCAAACAAAAGCACCCACACACACACAAACAACAACACAAACAACGATCACACACACACACACAAACAACAACACAAGCACACACACGCACGCCGCACGCACCGCACGGACGGGATCATCACATTCGCGCACGTGACCATGTTTCGGGAGAGGGGGTCTCGCATGTATATATATATATATATATATATATATTGGGATCCATACGCCGACCCGAGAGGTGTGACAAAAGGGGACCCTTCAGCATGGAAACACTGCCCGTGTCAGGCACTACAGGGGGGGAATCCTCCTGGCCTCAAAATACAATTTCGGCCAAGGCGGGAAGATGTTTCGCTCTGCAAGCCATCGAGCTTCAAGCAACGACGCAGCATTCTTCCCAAGCAGTTTTGCTTATCCACGCGCGCATGTGGCTGTGCGTGCGCTCAGGCCGAGAGGTCGCAGAGTGGCGCCGGGTTCATTATTTCGGGGGGAGACCTGCTCAACAAACCCACGGGCCTTCATTTTGAGATTGGGCAAATCCCGGAAGGTCTCTCCCTGAGAGACTTTGACAAGCGCCCTTCGAACAACTTTTTTGTGTCTCACAGAGAGTTTGCGGCTAAACGCACGGCATGGTGGAGTGTTGCCTGATTTCCTGGTCGCAACATGGTCGCAAACGCGTCCCACGAAAGTTTCCATGGGCACATTCGATGTTTGCCGTGGCCGCAGCCCAGAGGAGGCTTGCGGTGTCTGCATGCCATACGTTTTGTTGTGCGAAGTCGCACAAGGGGCAGAATGATTGCACGCCTCCAAGCAGCACTTCGAAACCGAAGGGGACCCACATAAACTAAAGGTTTTGAACAAAAAGCAAAACGTCGAACAAAGAGTGCCAGCATTCACGCTGTGCAGGGCCCTTTGTGAAAGAAAGGTTTCTGCAAGCAGAAACTTCCAGGCGCCTGAGTCAGGTTCGCATAGTCCGATGTGCTGCCACTCCAGCATGTGGGCCGGCCGGCCGGCCCGTCGTGGATGTTCGCAGCTTTCGGACAACAACTGGAAGGCATCCAATCGCCGCAGACATCACACATTGAAGGAATATCCAGCCAAGGTCAACCAGCTCACCCTTGAAAAAAAGCGGCGGTTCAGTCTTTCAGTCTCCCTGGTTGTGTTGCCTGCCTTTTGCCATATCTATAATACATGAACTCTCGAGCTTCCTATGGCTCGCTCGCTCGGTCCTCGTGGCTTGAAACGTGCCAGATGGCCTGTAGATATGCATGGAGACATCTTGTCTCATTGAATCCATCCATAGCTGCTACGTGATCAAGAGAAGGATCTGACTAGCTATGTCTCGGGGGAGCAAAGGTTTTCAGCCATGTGCATGTGTTTAGATTTCTTCAGGATCATCCTTTGACCCCTTGAGTCCTCGCAGAATCCTCTCATTCTGCAAGGAACGCCGCGTATGCGGCCCGCAGGAATGGCATATTGAATCCGTTTGTTTGTTGTTAGGATTCCTTGCCACCCGAAAAGTCGGCAGTGTCTGCGACTCTTACATTGGACTCAGGCTTGCTTGGCTGTTGCATATGTCCTGACACGCTTTTTTTTCGAAAGCCAAGCGAGCTTCGCTTGCACACAGCGTGAGCCAAGTCAACACAGTGCAGGGCCACAAGATTAGCAGTGTCGACCTGCGCCGTGGTTCGAAACACTTTCAGTGGCGAGATCCACTCAAGACAATATTCGGGTTCATTGACATCGCATGAATTGGGGGTCCAGAATTGGCCGCATTTCAGGTTCCAATATTGATTTTCAGGATCACCGACTCACCATTCGAGGGTCACTTCGTCACTTGGAGCGAGTCATGGACCCAGACTTTACAAGAGCCCCACAAATCTGCCGACACGCACACCATATTTGTGGGGCAACCAGACCAAGCCCAAGCTCAACGCATGAGCTTTCTGCCCTTGTCGCAGTTTGTATGCTCTGGCTGGTGAATGGTCTATGTCTAAATCTACGGATTTATATGTGAAGCCAAACTCAGGCCGCATGTGCTGAGTGGGAGCGAATGTATCAGAGAATCTTGCACCGTTTCCCATGGCCTTTATTCACAGCGCTAGTGGAAAAGGGCCGACGGTGGCGTGTGTCTTCTCACTTGAAGGTTTGGATGATGCACAAGACTGACTTGCGGATCGGATTTTGCGGAGCCTACACAGATTTCTGTGTTGATTTGGACGGCCCCAAATTTGGTTTCCATCAAGGGAGATGCGGTTCTTTGTTCAGGCAGTTTTCTCGAACGCTCCACAATGACTCGTCTGGCGCTCAGCGACAGCACGAGCCCTCTTGAGTGGTGCTTTTGTTTGTTCCGCTCAAACAAGAACGTCTGGACGTGGACATATGAACAAGAATGGCAGCGTCACGCTGCCACGGAAGGTTCGCGGAATGGCGGAAGCTCGCGGAAGGGACGTTGATCCCCGGAGACGCTTGGGGGTGTACAACCTCGGGTCGGTTCCCGAAAGCCCACGAAAGCCCTGCATGAGGGTGGCTGGTGGCTGGTGGCTGTCAACGACAAGCCCTGGGCGGTTGGTCCCAACCCATTTCGTCAGGGTTTGGGAAGTAGGGCGCTTTTGCGCAGCTCCACTCCGGCTCAAAACGTGGAATATGGGGGGGGGGGAGGGGGTTGAGGTAGGTTTTTGGAGCAATTCCATTCCATGGACTTGGGGCTTGGGGGGGTCCAGTGTGGAATGTTCTTTTGGGGAATTGGAAGAAAGACTTGCTTGCTTGCTCGCTCGCTTGCTTCTTTCCTTGCTTCGTTCCTTTCTTAATTCCTTTCTTCGTTCCTTTCCCTTCCCTTCCCTTCCCTTCCCTTCCCTTCCCTTCCCTTCCCTTCCCCACTCCCTTCCCCACTCCCTTCTTCCCTCTTTTCTTGTCTTTCTGCTCGCGGCGTGCCTTCCTTCCTTCCTTCCTTCCTTCCTTCCTTCCTTCCTTCCTTCCTTCCTTCCTTCCTTCCTTCCTTCCTTCCTTCCCTTCCTTCCTTTGCTTCCTTTCCTTCCTTCCTTTCCTTCCTTTGTTTCTTTTTTTTCCCTTTTTTCTTTACTTTTGTCCTTATTTTCCTTCTTTACTTCTTTCCCTTGTTCCCCCCTTTTTCCCAATGCCTTCTTTTCTTGTTTTGCATTTTGTATTTCCGCACTACTTGTATTTGAGAATTTGAAAGTGCAAAACGCTGGAAAACGGTTGGGCCCACAAGCTAAGCAACGAAACCTGCGCAAATAAGCAAACTCGACTGTGCTTAAATGAACATTTTGGAATCAGATTTGATTTGCTGCAGGTCCAGATGGCGTGTACCCTTTTGATTTTCACCCTGCCACGACGAGGTTCCCTTCTTTGGGTTCCTCCACAAACCAATCGTTTCAAGGACGCAACTATTGAGAGCCAGCGTGCGCTGAACTAAAGACAAGGACTCCAAAAAAGCCGATTCCAAGCTCATTCCGATTCCAAGCCAGAGCTGAGGCCTTCTGCTCCTGAGCCTATTCGGCTTGGCCTCTGCCTTCGTTGCCCCTTCGCCTCGCCCGGGCCCCGCGGAAAGCCCGCGGAGCCCGCCGAAAGGACGCGGGTTCGGGGTTCCGTGGCGCGTGTCGCTAGGCCTTGCACCTCACGGCCCCGCCTCGCTGGTTGAGGCGAGCGCCAAGGCGCGCGCTTTGGTGATTTGCGACTGGGGGAAGGGCTCTATGCCACTTCCTTTGAGAACGGCCCTTTCGTTTTCTGGCTTTCCACTGCAAACACTTGGCAGCCGGAGATGTTCATGGCCGGAGAACAAGATGCGTTGCCGCATCGAAGCGCGTCCTTGTAGGTGGGCGCCCAGGCGGACGCGCCCAGCCAGGCGCAGTTGCCACCGGATGCTTGCCCCAGTCGCCAAATTGCTCGATGAACGGTCAATTTGGGTTTCTATGCCAGGGATCCTGTGAAGGTTGCCATTCCTGATCATAGCAGCCTAATGCTGTCAAAGAGGGTGAGCCCCAGGTCCCAAGGGTGTTTGAAATCGCATGGGCCATTTATGGCTGCCATTGTCAAAGCCGATCACGGACACGGTAGCCCTTCCAATGGTTGCCCCCTTTTAGCGAGAGGCGATTCTATTTACTCGGCGAGTGATGCAAGCCTCTCTCAAGCGGACAGGAGCTCTCTTCCTGGTCAGTGTGCCTTGCGTGCTTGCCGCACGGGAATTCAAAGTGCCTCCTGGCTGGGGTTGTTTTGTGTCGGGAACGACAAATCCCTCTTCGCTTTTTGGGCGATATATGAGTAAGTAACAATAGGGAAAAGTAATCTAGAAATATATAACATGTATGTTATAATTCTATATTATTTGTTTCTATTGTTACTTACTCATGTTTTCCCCCTGCCATGTGGGCATTTCTCATGAACCGGGAGCTCCCTTCGGATGGTGCCCCATTTTGGTGCCCAAAACTTGGCGTGGCCACGCCTACGCCAGTCCTGCCTGCTGGCCGGGCTGAGCATTGGCTACGCCGCAGCGGCGGGCAAGGCGCATTGCTGCATCTTTTCTTGGCCAAGGGGCACCAACTCAGCCCCCTCCCCTGGTAGATTCTTAGCGGATGTTTGTCAGTCGAGGACGGAGGAGCTGCAGAACAGAATAAGAAACAATGCATACGTAAAACGGCGGAGGTCTCCTCCGCGTCCGCGCTATGCAGTTTTGTGATGAGTTGGGAACTTGACAAGAGTTGGATCCTCCTTAGGGCGGCTGGTTCCTTCCCAACAGTGAAGTCTCCAAAAAGGGCTTCGACTCCTCTCAAAGGGTCGAATGTGAAAAGTCGAGTTGGATCATTTGGGTGACCCTTTTGCATTTTCCACCAGGTCACTGACCCCTTGGCACCCGATTCTCACTTTCGACCGCATCCGACATCCGCCTCAAAGGGCAACCCTTCAACTCGCTTTTTGCTTGAGCCCGGCCACGAACCTTTCCCCAGCCAAGGGCTGGCCCACTTCCAGGTGTTTGCTCGCTCCAGCCAAATGGAACATATCAGGAATGCCGGGGGTATTCAACGATATGGGTGCGGGTCAAAACCGTTCAACCCACTTACCAAAAGTTTTTTTTTTTTTTTTTTTTTTTTTTTTAAAGTTATGTTTGGGTAACACAACCTTTTGTTCGGTCTATTTTGAAAGGGAATCTGCCAGGGTTTTGACCCACCCTCCATATGGCTGTGGGTCAAAAATATGTACCCAACATGGAACTCTGGTAAGTGCAAACATGGACCAACACCTGCAGTCCCCTGGTGGTTTACTTTTGACCCACCCTCCCTATTCCAACTGGGTTGTTCGAGCTGAGGCTTTCCAGCGGGCCAAGATCAGCTGCCAGGCTGAGCCCGGCGGCCTACGCATCTCTTTTTGGAGTTGCCCGCTTTCGCAATTTGGGAATGGCTCAAAATCAAACAAGGGGGGTTACGCAGGCTTTGGTCCATGTTTCCACTTACCAGGGTTCCATTCTGGTTTCCGGTTTTTTGAGCTCTGTTTTGGACCCACACCCATTTTGAAGGGGGGGATCTTTTCTCTCCAAGAAAAAAATCCGGGGGAAGCCACCGAATGCAACGCGGCAAAACAAGAAAAAGCCACGAGCCCCCCCCACCCGAGTTCTGGGCCATGCCTTTTCCCATGGTTTTCGTGGATTTTGTTTGGCCTAAGGAAGGCTTCCGTGGCGAGGAGCGGGGGCCCTTCTACCACATTTGCGGCAAGGGGGTTGTCTGTTTTTTTTGAATCCCGATAAAAGGATCAGCTTCAAATGGGGTGGGTTGGAGGCGAGATGTGCAATCATTCTTGGATTTTCTGGGATTTGTAGCGGATTTGAGCTCAGGGAATGGGTTTTCCGAGCTCACTTCATCAAACTTTTTCGTGGAATAGCCTTGGAGTGAGCCCGGAAATTCATTGGTGATCAAGCCGAACGCCTCTTCGCAGGACACCTGTGGCCTACCCCATCTTCACCTTCCGATGGTTGGCCATCCACGCGCTCGTGGCGGGCCGCTCTAAGCGTTTCGATGGGGCGCACTCGAGTTCGAGAAATCCCACTGCCGAGGTCCCCACGGTCTTCTTCCTGGGCGCCATCAGCTCCATGCAGTTCATCCAGCGCTGAGCATGGAGCCTCGGAGCGCCCGAGGGTTTTGGGTCGGATTTTTCAAGTCGCCGGGTTGCCAACAGTGAGCAGCCAATCGCCATGCTGGCGAAACAGGGGCAGGCCACGATTCTATTGTGACAAATGGCAATTTTCTCACCCTCCTCTGCTTGAAGAAAGCGTTGTTGTTCTTGTGTTTGACGTCCGAAGGGCAAATGCCATGCCCTTTGTGTGATGATATGGCCGTGATGCCTGTGTTGACAGAAGAGCGCACTCCGACTTCAAGTAGATGCCGCGAGGACGCGTGCAAAACTCAGAGCGCTGCCTATAGCACTCGCTCAAAGATGTCAAACTTGCCCGGTTTGTGGAAAGATGAAAACCCCACACCGCCGCTGCCGAGCACAAATAAATTTACGTGTGGGGCTTCGAAATGCCCAGTAGAAACCACTCGGATAAGCTTCCAAGCAGGGTTGGGATGGGTTGGGTGAAGCTGATTCCCACCAGGCCCTGTTGACCTGCGGGAAGTCCAATTTTCGGGAGGGGCTCCTGCTTTTTTGTTTTTGCCAATTTGGCATGAATCGCATTAGCCTATGTTAGGCACCGTCTTGCCATGGCGGCAGAGCCTCCGTGCCGTGCGGCAGATCCTCCGTGACCGTCAGCTCCGCCGTGCTTTTTTGGCCTTCCTCACAGACCACCTGTTCATTTGTTGTTCTTTTTATGAGGTTTCATATCGGGCTGGTATGGTCCTTATACATCTTTCTGGGTGAATTATAGCGACCTCACACGACCTCACCCCAAATGGCGGTTTATGTGGGGAATAGCCCCCCAAGCGCCTTATTTCAGGTTGCTGAAATATTATAATTCACCCAAATCTTTGGCTCCTTGGCAGATCCTCGCTTCAAGGAGTTGGTTTTGGGCCCGGCCAGGCCGCACCTGGGTGGCAAGGCCTCCAGGGGCCGCCAAGACTCCTTGGGCCGGCGCCGCAGAAACGAGAACCGCGGGGAGGGGCTTGAAAGCGTTTCCGGAAAATAGGAGATGTCGCCGTTTCGGGAAAGCGCTTCCCAAACAAAAAGAAAGTGTTTCCCCTAAGTTGGAGAGTTTTTGCCCAAAGGAAAGTGGTTCGATCTGGGTTTCTTGGGAAATTTGTGACGTTCAGTGATGCCGACCGGCTGGATGCGAAACGAACACAAGCACCCGATGCCGTCCATGGACGTGGCAGGTGCCGTCCGATAACGATGTGGAGGAAGCGCCGCTCCAGGCTATCAGGAGGGCCGGCCGCGCAGGCGAGCAAGCACCCATGGCAATCTGAGAATCGGAAGTGCACCACAACTGGCTGGTTTCCCTTTTTGTTTCCCCATGTCAAAATGCGTGTGGGTGGCGTTCCCGTGCTTGCCCTTTGAAGCACCGCTTGAAATTCAGAGGAATCCCTTCCAACCCGGGTGCTTCGAAACATGTATTGCACCATTCCGGATGCCCGCTGGAGTAGGACCGAAAAGAAGCCAACTCTTTTTTTGCTGGCCCACTTCGGAGAAGCTGCAGTCACCAAGTTTTCTAGGGGGTGATTCCCCATTCTTTTCAACCGTCGTTCTTTTCAAAAGCCAGGTGTCCCCTGCAGTTCTGATGGTTTCCTGGAAAGAAGGTTCCCTGGAAAGCATGGGGAAGGTGCCAGTAGAAGTTTCCGTAAAAGGCGGCAAGACACCAAACCGACTCGGAGGTGGCCTCCCACAGAAGGCCTTTTCCGCGCCTCGCCTGGCGCTCGCCTCAGCGTTTTTCATGGATGACCGGCGAATCTGCGGTAGGGTCGCCCTGCATATTGCAAGGGAACGAAGGACCGCCGTTCAAAATCCCGGTGGGGTGGGTTTATTTGGCCTGGGTCAAAAGCCAATACCCCCAGTGAACATCCCAATCCCCACTAAAATAGATTAAACTGGGTGATGCACCTACCACAAAATGGTACCATTGGTTTTGACCCACACCCATTTGTTTGCAATATTGAGTTGGCATCCGTTGTAATTCTTGCACTGGATCCGGATCGAGGATAAGGCGGGCTGGCGTTGGACGGACGTGCGGGGTGACAAGATTTTCTACAGGCGCGTGCGTGACATTCGTGTCCCCGAGCAGAAGCTCCCGAGTTGATCAGGGGCCGGGCAGGGAAGATTCGTTTCTTCAACCTCTCCCCTGCCTCCAGGCTCTTCTCCTAGAACTCCGAGACAGTATGTCAACATTGAGAACCTTCAAAATTGCTTGCGAATGCGCCAAATCCAGGTGGACCTTGTCTGGTGCCTTCATCTTGGTTTCCTTTGAACAAGGACCAAGGGGCCGGTAGGTTACTTTCCGTCTCCTCGCCCCAGCTTGTGCATTTTCCGCCATTGGCTCGAGCACGAAGCTGAGCCCAGTCACCGCGCAACTGTGTACAGGAGACTTGGTGCGTCGTCGTTTTTCGGTTTGAAGTTTTGTCCAGAGTTTTGACAGTCATGTGTCAAGGTGTTGTCCCATGCAAAGGCCTCAAGCTCCGGGGTTGAGTTCGATCTTTGGGGTAACCCGCAGCTGGTTGAGGGACTTGAATCTGATTCTTGTTCAATGGCATGCACTAAACGGCCGCCGCTCTGGCGACCTGAGCCTCGGAGCTCAAGGCTCAAATGGCTTGAGCCTAGGAGCTGCATGGCAGCTATTCTCAGCAAGGTGCAGCCGGGGATGGAAGGGACTCGTCCAGCCTCTGGCAACGTTTTGGGTTTTACCGCCGGCAGAGGGGCCTGACATTGAGTGCTCTCATTTTTATTTTTTTTTAAAGTTAGAGCTAAATGGGGGAGACCTGGGAACCTCACCCAAATCCAATGTCTTGACTCCCTCTTGACCTCTCCTCAAACTCCCGGCCTGCCCTGGTTAGAGGGTACCTTCCTGGGAACCTGATTGTGGGTGTGAGGTCGTGTCCTCAGCCATAGTCGCAACTTCTGTTTCGGCCCATCGAGCAAACGACCGGTTGGGCGGTCCGGAGCCCTCGAAGCAGGCGACAGGTCTGAAGCCTTGCGATGACTCAGGCGGACTTTCCCGACTTCCATAGGCCAGAGCCCAGAGTGGGAGTGCTTTGAAAGCGAAAGTGCCAATCTTGACGAAAACGGCAGCCTTTGCTGCAGAAAGTTGAAGAACGTGTCATTGCGATGAGAGAACTGTAGCCCTTTTGGGGGCCCCTTTAAAAGTTTGACAGCCTCGCAGTCGGACTGGTGTCTACTGGACCCGCGCGTGCTTGCACTTATTTGTGCTCGGCAATTCGGACGTCGCTTCTCGCAGGTCGATTCGCTCCTCCCTGCCGGTGTACAGGCGCACGCCCATGGCGATGCGACATGTGCCGCGTGTCGGTATCCATTGGGTCATTCACAACTTCCGCAAAAGCTCAAGCGTGTGCGTCCGTGTCCGTGTGTGTGTATGCTCGGTATTAAGGGTTTATGCATTGGTTTTGGCCCCCCGTTTGCTGGTATGTTGTACGGCGCCGGAAAGGCGTCGGCGCCTAAAGGTAGTCTTGCCATTTTGTAAAGGCTGTCAGCAAGCAGATGCCGGGGATAGTGCAGTGTTTTTGTGATTGTGCTAGCTTTGCTGAAGAGTGTTTGTAACTGCGCTTTCTGAATCCGTCAACGGGGCCCTCTACTGCTGTTTTTTGTAAGATGCTGCAAATTGCTGCTGGTCATTCAAGCCAGAGCTGCAATTCTCTTAGCATCTTTCTTTCATTCCTGTGTGGCATTAGAGTTGAACTAGAATTCAAGTCGATTCCAGTATGGAAAGACACGCTTGCTGTTTCTGCTAATTGGAATGGCTCTTAAAAATTGAACAATCAGACGCGCAAGGACATTGCGATTGCAGTTCTACTGGTTTAATAACTTTAAGTTGCCGCGCTTTAAGTTTAATCATAGTTTAATTCGAATTCAATGCACAATCGTATTTTGAATTAGAATGAACATTGGGCTTGCTTTCCAAGTAGGATTTAATTTGGGATTTGTACAGAAACAGTGAGGAGATCCAAGTTATATTCCAATTGGTTCGCTGGTTTTCAATGTCACGGCTTTACGTTTAAATGGGATTTCGTGTAAATGATCTTCAAGTTTTCATTTCGATTTAGATTTAAAATAGTACGTCCCTTCCAAGTAGGATTCAATGTGTAAACTTGACTCTTATTCTAATTCAGATGCTAAATCGGAATGTATGTTTGCACACATGAGTTCAACTGGAGTCTCATTAGAATTCATATTTCAAATACAATTTAAACAGACAGTCCCTCCAAGTCTAAATAGGAACTCCTTTCCAAAGCTTAACTCGAGTTTTGAAATACTTTCTAATAGAATCTGGTAAGGAATTAAATTACAAGCAGCTTGCTTTAATTCAATTACTTTTTTTGAATCATACTTTGAATGAATAGGATTTCCAAGTCTCTAGAACTTTGAGATTTAAGTGACATGGACATATAATCTGGCAAGGATGGACAAGCTGGTTGTTTCTTCTAGTTAGTATAAATGGACTTCTTACACTTGATTGGATGCTTAAGAGGAATTAATTCAAGTTTTATTGTGAATTGATTTGACATATCAATCGAACAGTACATAGAATCTAATAAGGAAAGACCGACAAGCTGGTAATTTCTGCCAATTCGCCTGGACAACAAACAACAAACCCGAGAACAAAAGTAGACCCATCATGAACACAGCAAACCTCGAGAAACCCGAAAACAAACAAAACACCTCTATAAAACCAAAGCCAAACACAACCGTGACAAAACCAAGCAGAAAACACCTCGACAAACCCCCCAAAAGCAAATACCCATGTTTCCGTTTTTTTTGGTTTTCTCGAGTTGTTGTTTGCCATTTGGGTTTCCCCGCTTTTTTTTCTTCTTCTACTTTACTTTCTGGTTTTCTCAAGATGGTTCCTCTGCATTTGTTAGATCAAGTGCAACTGGCAAGGCTGACCCATGGGAAGACTGGACGCCTCAAAAACGCGCAACAAGCGCACTACCAGGGTTGCCTCTTCGGTTTTGTTTTTAGGCGGCGCATCATTTTTTTTGGGGGGGTGGTCCCCTAACAAAAGGCCATTCCCAGATTGGGAATGGAAAAGGCGGAGGGCGCCGCGCCAGGGACTCCGCGCTGAAGGGCTGGATGATTTGCACGGCGGAAGATGCCATGGAGGAGACTGCGACCAGTTGGTCGGGTTCAAGGGGTTGTAAGGGGAAAGCAAGGGAAACCAAACCTAGAGAAAGTATTCAGCAAGTTCTTCAGCTTAGGAAACGGATTCTTTGATGGGGGCCATCCGTGGTTTCACTGCTGCATTGACGGCTTGGCTGTGCGACGGGCATCGTGGCGAAACGTAGGACAGTGACGATGAGTACGACTGGACTTTCTGCGAGGTGGAGGCAGGTCACTGGCGTCTCAGTCTTTTACCTTTTGTGTATCCCAGATGGGTGGATTTCCTGGTGCGTTTCCCTTCACTTCACAACTTCCAAACCAAAGTGGGTACCCATGAAAAGAGAGACCCAGTTGGCCAGGATGATGAAAGACCGCGCGGGCCCCAAGTTGGTGTCGCGGTCATCGGCGGAAATTGGATCTTTGACATTGGTTGCAACTTGTTGACACAAATACACGCTTCCCCTTTTCGCGCAACCCAAAGGCTGGTTAGAGTGGTGTAAAGAACATGTTCTGTCTAAAGTTGGGCCAATTCTGTTCCTGGACTTGGGCAGACCTTACCCGTACCCCCCGAGTGTTTCTAGATAATTATCCCGAGCGGAGCGTTGACTGTGCAGATCTTAAAAGCAGACCTTCCCAACGTGGTCGTCGTTTTGTCGACATGCTTTAGTGGGCTTGTGAGTGCTGGGCGCATGTTTGGATCTCAGGACCTTCGCGGAGGTGGTCAGAAGGCAGGGCGCTCCCAAGCCGTGACCAAGTTGGCTCATTCGCGCGGAGGCTGGGCTCGACTGCCGGACGCCGAGATTGGAAGCATGGACTCAGGTGTTCGGAGGTTTGAAGGATTTCCCTTTTGGCTTTCCGCTAACCCACCAAACGGGGCTCCAGGGCTCCAGCCAAGTTTCTGACACCCATCCGCCCCTTTTGGCATCCAGGACACCAACTGTTTCGAAGTCCCCAATTCTTGACGGCCATTTCGACCGGCGTGTTTTTGGCCGTGTCCAGCGAGCAATCAGATAACCAGATAATCGCAAGCACTGCTTTAAGGCAAGGGAGCGTGCACGTCCTCTGCGCCTCGGCGGCATCTCCTTGCATGGACAGTGCGGTAAGTCGAACTGAATATGGGGGCGTGGTTAGTGTCTTCCATTTCCTCAAGAATATTTGTGATTTTGCCTTGTTGATTTTAAGGTTAAAGGGGAGCTATCACTGCTGGACAAATATGTTTATTTTTCCCGGGGGGGGCTTCAGCAAATGGAGTTGTCAACTTTGATCCTTTTTTTGTTTCGGTGAGTCATGGAGGTCGGCGTTTTCGGCCGGGCGGCCGAGGTGCCCAAAGGATGCCCAGCGCCCAATCTTTCACGGGGTGCTTCACTTGAACAACTCATCCCTGAGGCGTCAAAGGACGGCGAGGGCGAGGACGCACGTGTTCGCCAATTCAAGGGGCCAACTGGACTCTTGCGAGGACACGGACACGTCCAGCCATGAAGATGACCATGAGGCCGGTGCCTGAAGTTTTGCGCCCGTTTCTCTTCACAGTGTCCCGATCCAAACCCTGCCAGTTGCGGGGCAAGATGCGTGCTTCGATGGCTTCCACCTGCTCGACGGCCTCAGAAGGCGGTGAGCTGCGAGCCTACAGCGCAGCTTTGATGACATGGAGCCCAAAAGAAGCAGCGTGATATCCTCTCATTTTTCCAAGCAACGTGTCATCTTGGAAACCGGCCAAAAGGATCTTAAGTTCAACGGTTCAATCCTCCCATTGGCTCGTTGTCCTACTGGAGGGTTGGGTAGCCGCATCCTGCTTGAGGATGAGTGAGGTCTAGCTCAGCGATGACTGCCTGGTAATCCCAAAAAAGGAGTACCATAATGACTACCAGGCAGTTCCTTGCCGAGTAGCGGCGAATTTTCTAGGAGAGATGTACAAAGACCAATGCATGAGCACCTGCCACGGATATGCCGAACGCACGTTTGATGCGAGGCACTTGCATCCATTTCAGACATGGACACGCAACAGAAACGCATCGAGCAATCCGTGGCAGAGTTGCTACGGGGAGCGGCAGCGGTTCTCGTGGTGTGTGCGGGACTCAGCCAGCTGTGTCCCTGCATGGTGTCAATCAGTCAATCTGCTGCAGGCACCGTGCCTGCGTCCAAAGGGGCTGTGACACGGCGAATTTCCAGGGGGACGCTGCGCACGTGCCCCGCCCGAAGTGTTTCTGGACGGTTTGGAGTTGTTTCCCTTCCAGGGGACCGAGGGAAAAGCTGGGAAAGCAGTAGAAGAGCGGGTCAAAAATCAACCACCAGCGGACCGCAGGTTTTAGTCCATGCTTCCATTTATCAGGATTCCTTTTTTGGTACCTATTGTTTGACTCACAGCCAGATGGATCAAGCACTGAGAACTGTGAATCTTTTTCGGCCGAGGTTGGATGCGCTTGGCCCGGAGCCTGAAAACTATCCATCGCATCAGCGGTCCTCCGCTTCAACTGAGGACCGCTGGCGCTGAATTCGGGCTCTCCGCTTTTCAAAAGGAGCCGCATGCTCGCGACTGGCTAATTGAACTGGCCGCTTGACAGCTTGGCCGATTTGCCGAGCCTGCCGAGCCAATCCCACCGCCCCAGGTCCTTTCGCACAAGTTGTTTATTTCCCCTCATGTCTCGCGGGTGACACTCCTTTCTTCAAGTCTTCCCTTCAAGAATCCATCAAATGTTTTCCCTTGGAACATGAGAGACACGACTTTCTCCGGCGAAAGGGCCTTGGAGCTGTGGCCTTTCGAGCCACATCTCTAACCCTGGAGGGAACTCCCAGTGCCAACTTCAGTGCCAAGCGGCTTGGCAAGAGAACACTTCTCAAAATTGGGGACCCCCCCCCTTTTCAATGGCAGAAAAAAAAGAGTCCCCAATTTTGGGGGGTCCCCAATTTTTACCCTACCAATTGGCTCAGTTTGATCTGAAAAGCGGAGAGCGGCCCTTCGAGTGTGTGGAGTGCTCCACTTTACGCGACGCGGCATCAAGCTTTGAGACTGGTGGTCTCGCGTGTTTTTTTACTACTTTTTTTTTTTTTTATGGACATGGTGTGATCATGGACATTTGGGTATGGGTCAAAATTACCCACCTGGGGGCCGCAGGTTTTAGTTCTTGATTCCATTTGCCGGGGCTCCACTTTGGGTACCTATTGTTGACCCACAGCCATTTGTGCAAGCAAGTAGTTGGGATTGTTTTTTGTTGCTTCTCCACTCAGAAGACGAGAATCAGAAATTGCGCTTTTGCTTCATTGAGTGCAAATCAAATTGGCGGGTTTTCCTGAGCACCGAAATTGCACCGGTCCGTTTTCTGCTCATTTCGGGGGCTTCATGATGTTGATGCCCCCCACATGAAACCCTTCCGAACCACCATCCTTGTAAGATCTTGTAAGGACACATTCTGATGATCGAACCTGATAGGCGCCCTCCAATTGAGAAGCGCTGGCTTCGCTTCTCGTCGCCGAGTCGGGCCATTTGCGCATGGTTTCAGCTCATTTCGGGGTATGCATGGGATTGGAGCTGAGCTGTGGAGCCCTGGGGTTTCCCAGCGACTTCGCCTCAATCCGAAGCACCGATTTCCATCCGCGAGGCGCTGGACCTATAGCAAGGAGCCCTTGGAGGCGTGGCTGGAAGGAGGCCGCCCCCAAGCGCCGGAGGGCCCAAGTGTCGGTGTCTGAAGGAACACTCAGACCCCCCGTCTGACTCGGCAAAACAAATGGGTGTGGGTCAAAAATCGGTATACAACATGGAACCCTGCGAAATGGAAAAATGGCTCAACTCCGCGGTCCCCTGGTGGTTTAGTTTTATTTCTACAAAGCCTGAAGCTATTTACAGGTGATGAAGCAAAAGCTGGAGTTTGCTGCTCAGAGCTTCATCATGGTTGGGAAGCTGGCCCACATTTCAGGTAGGTGGCCATGCGGTCAGGGTGTACTCACCCGAGGGCCTGTTGTCGGGTCAGTAGACTTTCCTCGGGCCGAAGACTTGGCACCTTCGCCAATGCCTATTTCTGACCTGCCAACACCCTCTCCTATGTTGTCCTCGGCTACTTGCTGTGACTGATTATCTGCAGAAGGGCCTTTCCGGAAAACTCTAGGGGTTGATTCCTTGTCCACTCTCTTCAACCATCGTTCTTTTCAAGAACCAGCTGTTTCCCCAAAAACTTTGGGTGGTTTTGTAGAAAGATTCGGATGCCTGGAAAGCACGGAATTGGAAGGTAGCCCCAGAAAACAAGATCCAAGGCTTCGAACCTGGGATTTGCCCACTCCTAGAGTCTCCATGACCCTCAACAAATGTGTCCATGACCCATTAATTTTGGGTGATGACCCAGTAGAAAAAAAAACCCTTTGCCCCATCCCAACGCTTTGCGCCGGGCGAGCGTGTGTCGAGGCCCAGGCAGGCGCTGCGCCTCACAGCCTCCGAGGTGGGAGAACTTGCGGTTTGACGCTGGCCATGGGCGGCTCGTCTTTTGTTTTAAGCCTTGGGACACCAAAGGGGCAAACTACCAGATTGGAGGTACCCAACCCCCCCGCTGTTTCTGTTAATATTTTATCGCATCCTTTCTTGAATCTGTTCACCCCTAATTTAACAATCAACACTTTTTCAAACATCATGGGGGGGGGGTCTGCCCAATCTCCCCGCTACTTTTTGGATTTTTGCAGAGATTTAATTGCACCCCTTTTGAATCATCACTTCTTCAAACATCATGGAGGGGGCTGCCGCCTCCCCAACCCCCCCCCCCCGGCTACATTTTAGATTCTTGCAGAGATTCTGCACCCCTAATTGTATCATCACCTTTTTTCGATCATCATGGGGGGGGGCTACCGCCCCCGCGCCCCCTCCCCACCCCCCCCCCCCCTCCTCAACCCCCCCAACACTTTTTGGATCTTTTGCAGGATTCAATTGCACCCCTATTTGAATCATCACTTTTTTTGCACATCATGGGGGGCTGCCCGCCCCCCCAACCCCCCCGCTACTTCTTAGATTCTTGCAGAGATTTAACTGCACCCTAATTGTATCATCACTTTTTTTCGAACATCAGGGGGGGGGGGGCTACCGCACCCCTGCCCCCTCCCCCCCCCCCTCCTCAACCCCCCCAACACTTTTTAGATCTTTTGCAGAGATTCAATTGCACCCCTATTTGAATCATCACTTTTTTCGCACATCATGGGGAGGCTGCCCGCCCCCCCAACCCCCCCTTTACTTTTTAGATTCTTGCAGAGATTTAATTGCACCCTAAGTGTATCATCACTTTTTTCGAACATCATGGCGGGGGGCTACCGCCCCCCCCCCCCCCTCAACCCCCCCCAACCACTTTTTAGATTTTTGCAGAGATTTAATTGCACCCCTTTTGAATCATCACTTCTTCAAACATCATGGAGGGGGTCTGCCGCCTCCTCAACCCCCTCGCTACTTTTTAGATTCTTGCAGAGATTTAATTGCACCCTAAGTGTATCATCACTTTTTTCGAACATCATGGGGGGGGGCTACTCCCCCCCCCCGCCCCCTCCCCCCCCCCTCCTCAACCCCCGCAAGCACTTTTTAGATCTTTTGCAGAGATTCAATTGCACCCCTATTTGAATCATCACTTTTTTTGGACATCATGGAGGTGGCTGCCCGCCCCCCCAACCCCCCCCCCCCGCTAGTTTTTAGATGTTCTACAGAGATCTAATCCATGTTGCTTGACATGTCCAGACTCTGCAAGGGTGCAACTTGTTTGACCAGCCGCATTCGCCGCAAACCTCGGCTCGAGTTCCCACGTCAGGCGGCCCGGCTGCGGGGCTGCGGCACGGACTTAAGGCGCAAGCCCTTTCAAAAGCGCAGAAGGCGGTGAAGGCTACAAAGGCTATGGGTGAAAAGATGGGAATGGTTTATATGGGTATGGGTCAAAATAAAGGCACCAGGAATTGGACCGCAGCTTTTGGTCCATGTTTCCATTTACCACAGCCATATATTCCTCGGTAAAGAGCAACTTCATGTTGGACTCATGTTTGAACATTCTTGATTCAAGGAGGAAAAAAGCAGTGCCACAATATCCTCGAGAAGCAGTCTTGCGTTAGACCTAGACCTAGACCAAGTCCGTGCCATGTTGCCTTTGTGCACAGGTCTTTGGCGCGGAGGCTTGATGAGACGAAAGAGGACCAAAAGCGCGAGGATTTTGGAGGAAAAGAGTGCGGGTTCAAGCCTCTTTCGGATGGTTTGTAAAAGCAGCATGGAGAGAAACCGACCTTATGTTCAAGCCGCATCGTTCTTTTCGTTGGCGTACTCTTTGGTTGAATAAAGACAAGCGCGCCGCGCCATTGCGCTTTGCTCAAACAGATTGCCGGACGAGTGAGGGCCAGTGTCCGTGTCCAAGCTAAAATTCCGTTTTGTTTGACATATGGCCATGGGTTGCATAACCTATGGCTTTGGGGTGGATGAACATCCACTTAAGCCACCTATTTTGATGTTCACCAGAAATTTCCTGGGTTTTGACAACCACAGCCTTCATATACGTATCTTACATATTCCGCACATGGTTGCTACGTGGTCCAAAGAGCTGCAGCTTTGCAAGTCCCACTGCCTGCCAGCTGAGCGGGCCACCCGGTGATGCGCCGCAGCCCGAGATTTCCTGGTTCCCTTTTCGCGAAAAGCCTCGGGAAGCGACTGAGTTGCTTTTTGGGTTAGTTTGGTTAGAAGTAGATGGGTTCCACTGGTTTCGCAGGGCTTCCTTCCATTGATCAGGGGAAGCCATGTATTTGTCAGAAGGGTCACCCATGTTCGGGAAGCGACTGAGTTCACCTCTCTACGAGAGATTTGGACAACGACGACCTTGCAAAGCTTCAGCCAAGTCTATAGCTCGGATCGATGCTCCCAGTCGCTTGAAAAGCAGCCTGATCATTCCATTCGGCCCGGGACCCGTATTGTTTCAGGTCCGGCAAAGAAGCCATTCTGGCAGCCGCAGTGAGATTCCTAGCATCCACCTCGTCTTTGTGACGCAGAAGTCTCATTTCGTGAAAAGTTGCGCCGAATCTTTCCACAGCAACACTTGATGCCTCTTGTTTGAGGTCTGTAGCACTTCCTGGAATGCCCGAGGACGGTTTGGCTCCCGGCTTCGACTTGGTCGAAGCCGGTCGAAGCCGGCTAGATCTGGTCACTCAGTTTCGCCTCCAGCAAACCAGCCTATGGATCCACAAGCCAACGGATAGCATGGGACCGAAGAAACAGCTTGGGTTGGCCAAACGAACAGGTCCTGTTTTGGCCCCAGGATTCCAGCTGCTCCCACTGCGGCGCCAGCGTGCTCAACGATGTGCACTTCTGCCGGAAGTGCGGCCATGCGCGCTCCGGCCAGGCCACTGGTTTTGTCGCTTTTGGCCGGGCAAAAAAGCACCCGGAGTGCGCTTGTGCGCTTGCTGCTCCAACCGGGTGCGGCTTCACTGCAATCCATTCACCCAGAGAGTTGCTCGCCCTGAAGCATTGGCCTGATTGCGGGTTTTAAGGTGTGAGGCGCACCAAACCTCCAACCTGCCAGCTCGGCTCCGCAGGCAGCTTTGGTCTCCGCCGGGATGCTCAGCGACTCCGCGCGTCGCTGCCGATAGACGCATGCCGAGGGATTCCGCAGCACCGGTTTCATGTCGTGAAGACTGCATGAGAATTCAGGGTCGCCCGGCAGTCTATGCCTGACAGCGCCCACCCGCCGAGGTTCCAAGGCGCTCAGAGGGTGTGAGGACGGTTCGCGCCCGGTCTCTTGGAGCGCCTTTCTTGCCCTTCGCCCAATTGGATCTGCAACGTGCAAATTCACGTGCGGCAATACAAGCGACGACCCTTGTTGCCTGCTCGCATGTGTTAGTAGCACTGCACTGTCGCTGCAAGGCGTACTTCAAGGCTCACTTTGTTGAGGACTCCCTTCATGTGCGGGACAACTGGCGCGCAGGAGGATGGCGCCTTTCAGCCAACACACTGGGCAGGCCAGAAGTCGGTTTTGATGCAGACTTGGTTGCTCTTTGGCTTGACCGAGATAGCTTTTACCAGCTTCTAACCTTTCGGGAAAGGATTGTTTGCCCCACTCTGTGGCAAGACGTGTCAAAGCCGGAACTCCACCACTGATAGTTTTACTGCATTTGTCTGAAACCGAAAAAGTACAGCCACCCCTCTTCTAATTGCCATTTCTGGATGAAGCTTGGTGCTGGGTGCTTGCTGCGACTGGCTCTCATCCTCTGCTGATGGTGCCATTTGCACACTTGCAGCGAGAATTGTGGTTGTGAGTGTGAAGTTATGCTGATGCTGATTCAAGCTAGAACCTCGCTATGTCTAGCATAGGGCAGCCCGAGCGGGCAGATTGCATAAAGTGTGCAACCTGATGGCTGTACCAAGCCCCCCGCCCCCCCTCCCCCCGCTCTCCGTCCATTTGGCGGTGGCTGAAAAAAGGGTACCCAAAATGGCACCTTAGTCAGAGACAAAGAAATCCACCTGCGCAACTTTTTGCTCTCCATCGAGCCTCCGAGGCGCCGAGCCTGAATGCGCCGCCTCGGCTGATCGTGCACGCCTCGGTGCGGCCCTTCGCCTGCTCGGAGTTCGCTGAGATCCGAGGCGCGGCTGCAGGAGCTGGAGCTGGACAGTCTGCACGGGGGCCAGGTGGCTTCGCAAAGCGCGCGACATGGAGCAGATCGACTGGAGCGAGCGCCCGCGCGTCTGGAGGGGGAGTTTGAGCCGTGATTCACCCAGAGGGGCTTGCTGAACCTCAGTCTGAAAAAGCACCCAACAGCCAACACGTGCGGTCCGGCTTTCGCTTTGCTCTTGGTTGCTTGGTTTGACCGCACCAACCTTCTAGCCCTTTGGACAATGTATCTGTTCCCGAGCAAGGATCCTGAGCAACCTTTTGAAGTAGTTTGATCCAGAGTCGTCCGCAAAGATCCGACACCACCCCGAGTCGATGAGTCTAACCCGCTCCCATGTTGAGGCTGGCACTCTGTGAGCGCTTGGAGGGGCGCCTAGTGCGACGAGCGGACGAGGAGGGGCGGAGGGGCTTGCCGATTTGCCGAAGAGCCAAGGAGGACGAAAGAAGGCGAAGGGGTTGATTCCTTGTCCTTTCTTGTCAACCCCATGATCCTTTTCACAAACCAGCTGTTTCCCCAAAAACTTTGGGTGGTTTTGTAGAAAGATTCGGATGCCTGGAAAGAATGGAGAAGGTAGCCCTAGAAAACAAGATCCAAGGCTTCGAACCTGGAATTTACCACTCCTAGAGTCTCCATGACCCTCAAAAAATGTGTCCATGACCCCTTAATTTTGGGTAACGACCCCATCTTTTAAGGGTCATGGAGACTCCAGGCAAAGCTCAAACTGGTCCAACAAGGTGCTATCCGAAGAGGGCAACTCGGAGATCCTCAATGTAATCTCAGGGCGCGAGAGGGGCGCAAGCTCTTTTGACACCTGGCCATGTGGCTGTGTCAAGGCTGGAGAGCCTCTAGATGATGTTGTCTTCCCAACTAGAATCCTTTTGATGCACCATGTGTGCCATCGTCAAATGCCTCTTGGGATTGGTTTTTTAGAGCGCCGCAAGGATTTGTCTTGAAACCATGGTCGTGCCCCAGATTTGCAGACCCGGTTGTGAGCTTTCGGTCCTGATGGACATCAACTCTTCAACTCTTTGGCTCTAAACATGAGCGATCCAGATGTCCAGTGCCGTGAGCACCAGGATCTGGTCTTGAACCTCCATGGATGTCATGAAGAGCCCTAAGGATTGAATTGCCATTTCAGGAGCTGGATGCCTTGTGCGAGTCCCTCACAGGCCTGGACATGCCGTCGCTGGCGTTTACCCTCACGCGATTGTTCTCCTTGCGGCCTACCTTGCCATCCAACGGTTGTAGTTCGCCTCGTGTTGCCTGCCGAAGCATGTACGGATCAAAGTGGTGGTGTTGTAACCCGCGGTTGGCCGTAGATGGTCTGTTTGGTGCCTCCTGGGGAGCCTGACACAAACGTGATCCAGGACTCCGATCCCCAAGAGCCACACGACAAGCCTGAGCCGCAAAGAAGAGATGGGGGGCTTATTATTGCCTGGATGGCCGACATGCGGTTGGTGAGTGGGGAGCATCAAAGAGCTGTCAGGGCAGGCAGAGCAATGCAATGCCTGGCGCAAGGTGTTTGCAGGAGGGAGCTGTGCTATAAACACAGCTTCCAGACGCAGAAGGGGATCAAGGATTTCTGGTCTCACAGTTGGAGGACACCCGCCTGGAAGAAGATGGTGTTGCTCTCCTTTTGGTACAACGTCAGTGCTGCCAACGTTGCCGGCACCCTGGGCGCTCTGGTATTTTTCGTCCTTGGATGCTTTGACCTGACTCACAGCTACGACAAAGTGCCCGCGCCTTGGATTAGGCCATTGAGACTGGGCTGTTGGTGCAGCTTAACAGGTGTGCTGCTCTTTTGCCTCACCCTCGTCTTCTGGAAATCTCCAAGGACCGTTTGGTTGGACTACGTCTGCATCCATCAAAGCGACGCGCAGCTCAGGCAGCGGGGGCTCTTGAGCCTTGGTGCAAACATCAAGAATACAAAGACGATGCTGGTCCTATGGGATGAGACCTGGGTTGAGAGGCTTTGGTGTATTTTCGAAATGGCCGCATTTTTGAAGAGTCACGGGGAGGAGGCCAAATCCCACCTCGTCATCCTTCCCACCTTTCTCTGCCCATTTTGGCTTGTGCACCTGACGATTCTCAGCGTAGTCATCTTGTTAATGGTCGCGCTTCCATTCAGCCCTTTGCTCTTTGCTGGTCTTGGATTTGCTGCGGCTGTTGTAACTGAGATGCTCATTTTTGACTTCTACTCGAAGCTTGATGTTTTGGATGCCCGCTTGCGGCAGTTCTCTTTGACGAACGCAACCTGCACATGCTGCAGCACAGGCCACACTGACCGAGAAGGCAAGGTTATCCACTGCGACCGAAAGATCATTATTCAGTGCCTGTGCCAGTGGTTTGGGTCAGAGGCAGCCTCTGAGGCCAATATCTCCTCAACAGTGGCTGATTCATTGAGAGACAAGTTGAGCAGGTTTCCCTTTCAGTACTGGATGTTTCTCTCCTTTACAGTTCCCCTCGTCTGGGCTTTCATGGACCAACTGGCAGCACGCATCCGGGATGAAGCCTGGGAAGAGGCAGGAGCGCTTTGCTTCGACATCCTTTCGAGATTTTTCAACGTGCTGCCGGCGGTCTTCGCCTTTACGGTCACCATGGTGCACGCAGTGCAGCGCGTCCGTTGCAGCAGAAAGGCACCGCTCAGGTGGCTTTGCCGCGCTGCAGTCGCTTTGCTCCACCTGCTGCCGCCCTTGGGATCTCAGCTTTGCAACACACTTCTTGAAAATCGATTGCAGAGCGAGGCGCTGTTCTTCGCCCTGACCATCATTCCTGCCTTGGCCGCTTGGCGCCTTTGTGGGCGTAGGTCCCCTTAGGTGAAGTGCGGTCAGACAGTGGTAATTTTTTCATTTGGTCACTGCCTTCCAGAACTTCCAGACGCACATATTTCTATTGCTATGCGCGCAGCGAATAGTTTTACCTTTCGCCGGCTTGCCGGCCGATGTTTCTTACGCCCAATGTCAGAACAATCACTTTGGTTGCCGTCATGACGACACACTGGAGGTAAAACAAGGTCTCGCAGGGAAAAAGACCATCCTTTTGTTTGTGGGGCTGCTAACTGTAGCCGGACATCCTTAGCGGTACCCTCCTGACTAACTTCGGGTGGTGTCTACTTCATACTTCAGGACGCCTCAACATGGTTCAGTTGTTTGCCCCTTTTGTCGGTTGGCCGAATTTTGGGGCGTAGGCGAGGCAAAGGGCGCCAAAGCCTTGCCACAGCACCAGCAGCAGCCCCGCGCTCGGCCACGAGCACTCGGCTTTTGGGCGCGGCTCCTGGGAGTAGATGGGAATCATTTTTAGGCGCACGAAGTGTTGTCAAACAGCTCAATCCCCCGTGTTCTCGTTCCAGACGTCTCCATCAAAGGAAAGGCAGCATCAAGCCCCACCCCTCTTCCCGAGGACCCATTATTATTGGGGCTTCCCCAAATCAAGCTAGACACTGGTATGGCGGGTTTCCGGTCAGGTGAGACATTGTGACATGTTCTGACATGCTAAGAACAACCAGCGACGTAGACTCCGTTGGGTCATACAGTTAGGGTCGCTATGATTTGCCTTCAGTGGCGGCTTCCTTTCATACTTTCAAATGAGCCAAGCAAAGTTGTATTGTAAACAACCGATCAGCAGGGAACTCATCCGTGAAGCCAGCTTCGAGGCTCCAATACCTCGGACACTTGAGGGACCTGAGGTCCCGCGAGGCCAACAGGCTATCTGCGGGAAGGGGCATGCGGCATTCCCTCAGTCCATGCTACGCCGTCTGCCTATCGGCTGGGTTCGGTTTTGCAACGTGTTCACGTTGTCTAGGGGCCTTATCCAGAGGCCAACACTTTGATCCTCGGCTTGGGGTAGACTCCTTTAGCGAGGTTTGGTTTGGGCTCACCCCGAAGGGTCAAAATGCAAACAGACGTTTGGGGTCGGAAGTTGATGGCAACTTTAAGGCACACCTTTGAACGAGTCCTCTAAACCAGGATGAGAGGTGGCAGTGTTCTCAAATGGCTTGATGGATGCACTGGAAGTTGTGCATTGCTTACAGTTTGATCACTTGGTGTGTGAGGTAGGGTGGGGATGGTATGCTTCAAAGCGTGACGGCGATATGGTCGCCTGATGTGCAGAGCCATTGCCGTGACCCACAGTTGGTGGAGCAGGCTTTGCATGTGGCTCAAACATCTATCAGATGCCAGGGCCAAGCCATAGGCTCCACAGCCTGAGCGCCAGGGCAAAGCATTTTTGCACAGACTGCCTCTAACCACACTTTGTTTGCTGCGCTTTTTGCCCACAATTGCCGAGCTTCAGAGCTTCAGGCCAAGAAGCACCAACACAGATTCGGCCTTTAAAACATTTGGGGATCCCCCCAAAAAAACTTCACGGCTTCCCAGCCACAGCCCGCAGGCAACTAAGTTCCTGACTTCCCCTGCACCATTTCATGGGCAGGTTGGGGGACCTTTGGACGGACTGCGCCGATGCTGCTGCGAATGCAATGGCTCCTGGGGAAGGCGCAGGAGCTGAAGGAGGCGTCGCCCAGCTTCGTGGTGGCTGGCAGAAGGCCACGGCGGGAGGGCCCCGCCGGTGGATTTTTTGCGGTACCGAGGCATGGCTTGGCTCTGGGCCCCGTTTGCTTGGGGCCTGATGCCTCCATTGTCATCGTCATGATGCACCCACACCCACCCACACCCACACCCGCCCGCCCACCCCGGGAATCTTCAGGGTGCAGCAGCGCAAGCTGCTGGCGGACGGGGGCTTCGCCTATGTCTTCGCGGGTTTGGATGCCGACACCGGGGAGCGCCTGGCCATTCGCCGGGTGCTTCTGCAAGACAAGGAGGCCCTGGCCAAGGCCAAGGCCATGCCGAGGGGGGGTTGGGGGGTGGGTGGGGGGGTCGGGGGTGTGGGGTGTGGGGTGTGCGTTCTCTCGCTTTGCCTCTTTCTCGGGAGTCTTTGGCCCGTATTTTTTTCGACTTTGTGGTTTTAGCTTGTTCCTTTTGTCACCAGAGCCTCACACTTGCCATGTGGGGTTCCCCCCCGACAAAGTCAAAGGTTTTTGGAGCCCAGCACGGGTCAGGTGGAGATCGAGCTGCTGAGCGGCCTCTGCGACCATCCCCACGTGGTGCGCTTCCAGGGCGCGGAGATCTTCCAACGAGGCCGCTGGAAAAGCCGGGCGGGTGCGGGAGGTGGGTCTGGGTCAAAATGACACCACCAGGATATGGACCGCAGGTGTGGGTCCATGTTTCCACTTACTAAGGGTTTCATTTGGGGTACCCATTGTTGACCCACAGCCATGTGAAAAGCGAGCCCCAGTATGGCCAGAAGCCTTCAGTTTCAACTGGGCGCTGTGGGATGTGACTCGAGAGGAGCGGGGGCTGAAGCCGTCTACATCTTCGCAGCTGGGCAGCAGGGCGGGCAAGCCTTGAGAGATCCGTCCCGTCAGGGGATGAAGTGCATTTTCAAGTGCGTTTGTTGGAGGCGTGAAGATTCCCGGTATGGCCTCCAAGTCTGAGCACACATACCCCCCCCTGCATGCAGTAGCCGTCTCATTTTTGGTCCTACTGTTTGACTCATTCAAATTTTGATGCTAGTCGGATTTTGTCCATTTGATTTGTGTTTAACGTCCCACGCTCATGTGGGTCAAAGTTCCTGAACCATTTTGGTCCTAGTTTGTCCTAGTGGATTCTCATATTGGTCATATTAACCCAACCTGGCAACCACGCAGTCACTGACTCACTCACTGACTCACTGACTCACTGACTCACTGACTCACTGACTCACTGACTCACTGACTCACTGACTCACTGACTCACTGACTCACTCAATCACTCAATCACTCAATCACTCAGTCACTCAATCACTCAATCACTCAGTCACTCAATCACTCAATCACCCAATCACTCCATCAATCAATCAATCAATCAATCAGCCAATCAGCCAATCCATCAATTCATCAATCCATCAGTTCATAAATCAGCCAATCAACCGCTCCATCAATCCATCATCCATCAATCCATCAATCCATCAATCCATCAATCCATCAATCCATCAATCCATGACTTCATCAGTTCATCAATCCATCAATCCGTGAATCCATGAATCCTACCGTGGCAGCCTACAAGAATTAGGACTGATCCGACTGGAGGAGCCAGTGCGCTTTGGCTCATCCGCCAGAACAACTTGCCTAGCTTGCTGCACACACCTTGTTGGTCCATGGATGCAAACGGCATGAGTGCAAAACATCAAACCCAGCGTACGTGGATCACGCTCATACCTCCGAAACCCAGCCGGAAAGCCCCTTGATCACGCGGCCAGCAGGCGGTCTCTTTTCCGTAAGAAGGAAGCACTTGGTGAATTGCAGCCCGACTCCATGAAATGTATGGCGTTTGCTTCCTTTGGTTTCCTCCTCCCATTCCCCAATTTGAATTATTAGTACCCCAGAACTTCCCCACTTTAGTTGCCATGTAGAGCACCAACCACAGCAACAACCCCACCCCCTCCCCCGTTTCCCCTATTGCCCATCAATTTTCCAAGATCCACTTCCGATTTTATGTTTCCCAAGAGGGACTCCAGGCGGTTTCCCCTGGCCAGATCCCAGGCAAGCCATAGTCGGTAAGCCTGCCGATTTTTGTCAACTTTTGGTGACGCAGTCCTTGGTTGCGTCAGACAGATGGAATCACTGGCTGGTCAAAACCATGGATCCCTGGAACTATTCCTGGATACGCCCAGGATAAGCCCTTCATACGCTTTTTGTTTTTTTCTTCTTCGGGGTCAACAGGCGAATTGAATTCGCCCCCCTGATCGAGGTCCATGACAAAAGAAGACCCTAGTATTTCCGTATTTCCTCTGTTCTTTTCCTTGTTGGTCCTTTCTACAGCAATATGTTTATCTTTTGATGCCCAGAATTGGTTTATCCAAAGCGCCGCATTCCGTTGACAGGAGCTGTGCCCGAACGGCACGCTGCTGGCGCACATCGAGGCCCACAAGGACCAAGCGAAGGCCCAGGGCCGGGAGCTGCTGCCGCCGCTCGACCTGCGAAACGCCTCGAGCTTCGAAGGTTTCAGCGGACCGTTTGGTTCCCCGGGAAACCGGAAAAAAGGAAGCCGGGACATCTAGAAGAAATCTTGAAATGAAATTCCAGATTTGGAGAATGCATGCATTTCTTGGTTTCAAAGTATCACCTTTGGGGCCTGATTCGAAATGGGTTTCCTGTCCCCAGGTTCGGTTTCTGACTTGTGGAAAATCGGCGGTTCCTTGGTGACCGTGTCGAAATCCGCATCCTCATTTGACCCGGTTTAAGGACAAAAATCTCGTAAACAACGATCCCTTTTCTTCTTTTTTTTAGAACGAACACGTAGAACGTCTTGGGAGTTAAAAGGCAGCATCTTCGATGAAGACTTAAAACGCATTGGGCGGTGATGCTTTAAAGGGGGCATATATACATATATACATTAGGAACCCAACCAGAAGCCCCTAAGGGGGGGTCGCTGCAACCAGTCAGAACCGCTGCGCCACCCTAACTGGGTATTCCGGGACAATAGCAAGGGTCGTAATACCTCTGGGCTAGAACAAAATGCAATGGATTGCGGCCTCGTGCCGACTTGAAGCCCATTTCCGTGTCGTATTGCGGGGATATTCCCTCCCCATGCCCCTCGAGCTAGGGGGAGATCGCTTTGATAGCTCTTGCCAGTAGCGGATTCGGACGTATGCGGCTCATAATGTTGCTGTTGGTTTGGCCAACACTTTGTGACCATTGGACAATCTCAGCCCCCCAACCAATTCCACCGTGACCGCTCCCCACTCGGCTTGTGCTCGGCAAAGGTATTGCTGCCCCTGCCTCGAGGAGAAAGACATCCTCGACGTCTTAGGAGCGCACAATCCCTCGACTTTGGGAGAGTCCATGACTTGCTCCCGTGCAGGAGCAACAGCACAGGCACTCGCCTATCTCACCCGGCTGGGAATGATTCACTATGACGTGAAGAGCGCCTTGACTTTTTTTAGCCAGCTCTGCCACTGCCACATGTCGCTCAGCCCTCTTCTGATCATTCGATTTGTGGACTCTTGGAGCATTGGTATCTTGCTTTGTACTCATTGTTCCTTTCTCCTTTTTCAAGTGGAATGCACTCCCATTTGTCTCCAAGAGTCAGTCCTGGTTGTCTTTCAGTGGAGAAAGGGCTTACTTCAACTCTACTTAATTATAGAACCAGAGAGCAGGCTGTGAGCTCTTCTTATCCTCTTCCATTTGGCGAAGGGGAATGGAACACTTGTTTTTTTGATCAACCCCCTTTTGATGGGCTTTAAGGGGAAAAATAAAGGAAACCAAAAGGAACCCCCAGAATTCGTTTGGGCACCCCTGTTTTAAGACACGCCCAGTTTATTTTGTCTTTTGTTCGGTCACGTCAGAACCAAAAGGAGCAGCCATTCTCAGCCTGGTGGATTCCTGTGTGGCCCCTGAGGCGAGAACCTGCTGCTGGGCAACGACGGGCTGTGGAAGCTGGGAGACTTCGGTTCTGCCTCAGAGCACAGCTTTGACCTAGAGAAGGCAGAGAAGAAGGCGGAGAGCCAACAAATGTCCATGTGGGTCTGTTTTTGTTTTTGAGGCCACCCCTTTTTTGGTGCGTTTAAAGGGAAACCAGAAGCCAAAAGGAAAGCAAACATATCAACATGTTTGGTCCGAGAACCCTAGAGTTGAAGTTGCCATCCTGCGTACATTTTGGGCCTTCCTTGCTTCCTACTTGTTTCTCGCGTTTCCTTTGGCCATCAATATAGTTGAGTAGATTTCCCAGGGTGGTTGCTTCGGATGTCTTCCGTTTTGGCCTGTCGCAGTTGTCAGCAGAGTGTTCCTGGCATGGGAAAGCAACAACTGTCTTCAGTAACGGTGAACTGCATCCCAGTGCATCCCAGGCAAGCCACCATAGTAGGTCACCAGCACTTTCCCTCATGGCTTTTTGAAAGGTGATTACCTACAGAACCACTATAGTTGGCAACCAGCAATTTCCCTCTTGGATTTTTTGAAAGGCGATTCCCTTGCCTGACCCTAACCACGGAGAAGAATCAAACGGAATCCGCTGGTTTTTGGTGACCTACGGCCTCCCCGGGCGCGAAACGAGGCGCTGCTGGAGGCCCAGGAGTTCATCCACGGGCGCTGCACGCCCATGTACCGCGCCTGGGTGCCAATGGCTGTGGCCAAAAAACCGGAATTCCAACATGGGTTGCCCGATCGGTAAGTGGAAACATGGACCAAAACCTGCGGTTTGCCCCTCCTGTGTAATTTTGAGCCACACCCAAATGGGGGCGGAAACACGGGGGGGGGCTTTGTTTGCGGAGATGAAGTTAGGCGAGCCGTGAAGGATCCGCCTTTTGAAGGGGCGTTTTCAGGGTTCCATGAGAAGGGGGGTAGACATATCGTGGGAGATGGGGCTTGTGGAACCCCAGCTTCACTTTGGTTACCAAATGAGTTTGGCGGGCAAAGTTGCTACAGGGATGGCAGTCCCGGAAAGGTTCAGCAACCCCGTCAGATTCCTCATTCTGGAAAGCACCCAGCAAGACGTTCCCTTTCGGGTGGTTGACACGTGTCCATTTGCTTGCCCTATCTTTGCCACTTTCAGAGCCTCAACCGCGATTCGTGTACTTCAATTTTCAGATTACCACTTTCTGCAAAGGAGAGTGAGAAACGAAAGGACAGCGAGAAAGCAGAGATCAAGAGAGAGAGAGAGAGAGAGAGAGCGACAACAACGGGGCACAGGCACGGGCACGGCCGGCAGGTTGAGGCATTCAAGCACGAGATAAACAAAAACAAGAAAAGCACAACCCGCAAAGGAAGTAAACAATAAAGTCACACGCACACAAGCCAAGAAAGAAGCAAGAAAGAAGGAACGAAAGAAAACAAGAAAGAAAGAAAGAAAGAAAGAAAGAAATAAATAACAATCACAATCACAATCACAGACACAAGCGAGATACCAGCATCGCCCAGTATTGACAGAGCAATGTGCCACATCACAAAGTCACACGAAAAAATGACACAAGGCTAACCATTGCGCCATGAAAAAGCAATGGGCAGACGCAAATAAAAAGGCAAGCAACCAAGCAAGCACACAAAGAACAGCTTGACAATCACACGCATATACGCACAGACACGGACAACAAACAAACAAACAACAAGAAAAATCCTTTAAACAGGCAGACAGACAAACAAGCAAGTAGATAGACATCCAGACCAACCGACAGACAGATCGTCCAAAGGAGAGAGACTGGCAGTCAGGTAGAAAGAGAAAAATGACTAACACATAATTACAAAGAAGCACACCCACAAATGCGGTTGGCCAGGGGGCAAATTGAGCAAATGTAGGGTAGATCATGACTAAGCTGCGCAGTTGTGTCTGCAGTCAAGCATGCGCATCTTGGTCAGGCGCACCCGAACTAGCTGACGTGTATCTTCGCTGGAAGATTGGCCCGAAGGTAGACATCTTTGCGCTAGGCCAGCTATGCACGCTGTAGCGCTTGCGTCACGGACTTTTTTTTTGTCTTTTTCTTCGCTTGCGAGGCTGCATCATTTTCGCTACCATGACAGGACTGACCTGGGCAAGGAATCACGAGGGTTGGGCATTGGTTTAAATTTTGCCAAGGGCCCCTTCACAGGGACCTATGTGAATTCATGTGAAATGAACATGTTCAAAACCATTTGACAGTTGGGAGTTCATACGTGGCGGCCAATTCGATTGACGAGCTTGTTCACAGGACAGCACCCATTCCCCATGGAGTCCACGTGTGGGAACATCACTGCGAGCTACCGACTCCCGCCGGAGGCGACAGAGTGCTACTCTTCAGTTCTGCTGCAGCTCGGACAGCGAGCTGAGTCCGGAATCGAGTGTCTTGAAAGTCTGCATGGGCAACTTGGTCGATCCTCCCCAAAGGGTAAAATGTCCGGTGCCCAGCATGTCAGTGGCGATCGTTTCCAGATTGAATCCAAGCAGAAATTAAACTGATCAGGGAAGTCCTGCTAAAGGTTGGTTGCCTCCAGTTTCGCAAGGGCTGTCAGCTTCCAGCTGGGGTTGGGACACGCCGAATCACCGAATCAACAGGACTGAAGGAGGTGTTCTCTTGGGCAGGCATCTTGGTTGAGAGCAAGACGAGTAGCCTGAGTATGTGTCCAACTACCAAGAATCTGATGGTTGAGGTACTTGGAAGCCTGTCAACCCTTTTGCCAAGTCGAGTGGGTCATGCGCCAAAAGTCCGAGAGTTATTTCGCATGATTTGTCTTTTACATCCCCGATTATGATGCAATTCTCGGAGTGTTTGCTGAGTCTGGTTTAAATCATATCCCGAAGAATGTGGAGGGGTTCTGGGAAAGGAGTGAGCCTTTTTGTGGTGTACAACAGAATGGCCAGTCGGAGGGATCCCTAGTTTGACACACTGCCACTCGTGCGAAAGTGTCAAGGGAGACCAAGCTACAATGAAGCTTTTGACTCAACAGATGTGGCTGATGGCTAGTGTTGCACCCTCGTTTTAATAAATGGGGTGCCCATTATAGAAGTCCTTTTTCCGAATGCAAGACCCGCCGAGGTCTTCAATGATAGAATATTTTTGCTGGCAAGCATCGGGAAAAAAATATAGGCCAAACAAATCGGGCAAACCATGCTGAGCAAAACTCCAGGCCACACAATCCGGGCAACAATTAGGATTTCCTGTTTTTGAAAAGGTCTGCAAACCATCATTTTTGTTAAAATAAATCTTAAGAGAGAAATCACGGCCAAACAGTCACGCAAAGGGGGTCGCCCACAAGAGGCCCTGATCCTGTTCAATATGACTGGTTTGGGATCGCCTTTGATGTCAAGCTATTTTTTTGGGGGATGTGAAAGTACGAGCTCAAAGCCTTAGCCTTTTACTTGTAAAGGTTGGTTTATCTAACCAACCTCTTCCCAGCTCAAACGCAAAAGCCGTTAGATCTAGAAAACTAATTTTGCCAGAGAACATATATATATATATATATGGGCGACGATCAAAAACCCATGTGTAAAAGTTTAGTAAGGAGCATATTCATGTGTTCTGGCGCTGCGCGCGCGAAAGGTCGCGAGTGGGCGCCGGAAGGTTTGGCGAAAGGGCTGGCCACAATGATGATAAAGGATGCTGATTTAGCACTCTGAATGGCAAATGAGTCTTTTCCTTAAGAAGGCACCAAAACCTGTTTTGGGCACTGGAAAATAACATTTGGGCAGTGACCCGCCAAAAGTGTCCAAATGAGCCTTTTCCTTGAAGATGTGTGGATGGATGGATGGATGGATGGATGGATGGATGGATGGATGGATGGATGGATGGATGGATGGATGGATGGGTGGGTGGGTGGGTGGGTGGGTGGGTGGATGGTGGATGGTGGATGGGGAGTGGGTGGATGTATTGGTGTGTGGATGGACGGATGAGAATACAGACCCCAAAACCTGTTTTGGGCAATGGAAAATAATAATGGGGCAGGGTTTGAGTTTGTTTGCAGACCAACAAGCCAAAAGTGTCCAAATGAGTCTTTTCCTTGAGGGTGCAGACTAGAGAGCCCCCCAAAACTTGTTTTAGGCGCTGGAAAATAACATTTGGGCAGGCTTTGGGTTGGTTTGCAGGTCAAGGGGCAGAAAGTCTCCAAATGAGTCTTTTCCTTGAGGGTACAGACTAGGGAGCCCCCAAAACTTGTTTTGGGCACTGGAAAATATTATTTGGGCAGGTTCCGGGTTGGTTTGCAGGCCAAGGGGCGGAAAGTGTCCAACACCTCCAAAACCTGTTTTAGGCACTGGAAAATAATATTTGGGCAGGTTTCGGGTTGGTTTGCAGGTCAAGGGGCCGAAATTGTTCAAATGAGTCTTTTCCTTGAGGGTACAGACTAGAAAGCGCCCAAAACTTGTTTTGGGCACTGGAAAATAACATTTGGGCAGGTTCCGGGTTGGTTTGCAGGCCAAGGGGCGGAAAGTGTCCAAACGAGTCTTTTCCTTGAGAATACAGACCAGGCACCTCCAAAACCTGTTTTGGGCACTGGAAAATAACATTTGCGCAGGTGTTGGGTTGGTTTGCAGGAGCCAAAAGTGTCCAAACGTGTTCAAATGAGTCTTTCCTTGAGAATACACAGACTAGCGCCCCAAAACCTGTTTTAGGCATTGGAAACTAGCATTCGGGTTGGGTTGTTGGTTCCCAAAGCAGGCTTTTGACGCATGGCTTTAGTGGTGTTGTCGACCGAGGGTTGTCGACCATGTGCGCCCCACTGTGGGCGCGAAAGAAAGCGTAAGTTTCGCGAAAGGGCGCCGGAAGGCCAAAAAAAAGCAAAAGAATTTCGACCAACGCCCATATATAGCAAGACAACACAGCCCAAACACTCGCAAAAAGTCGGGGTTTCAATGAGAGGCTAGGCAATAGTAAGGCAAGTACTGGGAATCTGAGAGTAAGTCTTGGCAATGCTCAATTTTAGACTAGGCAATAGTAAGGTATTTACTGGGAATCTGAGAGGAAGTCAATACTAAAGTAAGTATGGGCTGGGAAATTGAATCTGTGAATAAGTTTTAGCAATACTCAATCTAGACTTGGCAATACTAAGTTCAGTATGAGGAATCTGAAAGTAAGTGTTGGTGGCAATACGAAGATTAGACTTGGTAATACTAAAGCAACTAATAGCAAATCCATTCCCCACCCAGACCCCCATTTTTCCACTATTGGGGGCCCCGAGGCTGTTCCCAGGGGCACATTGAACAAGGCCCCACATGATTGGAGCTGCTGGGCTGCTGCACATGACATCGAAAGGACCGCAACGTGGAGAATGCCGCGCTATTGGAACTAAGACGAAGGGGACGCGGTTTGCAAAAAGGCAACGTGTGGGTTTGAACATAATCGAGGCGGGCCCAGTAAGCAACTAAATCCTTCGCTTTGTAGCTGAACCCCTTAGATTTGTGCATGCGCTATGTAGCCCGCCCTCCCTTTCAGCCATCTTGCTTTGCGGCTCTAGAGCTTGAAGCTTTCCCCTGCTCGCGCTCGGCTCATCGCGCTCGATCGAGGGGCTGGCTGCGGGGCCTGCTGGCCCGGCTGCCCGCGGAGCGGCCCTCGGCGGTGCGCCTCGCGGCGGAGGTGGAGCGCTTCAAGCTCGGCGAGCCGCCGGCGCCAGCCCCGGCCCCGGCGACGTCGTCAGCCCGGCCGACGAAGGCGGCGCCGGCGCAGACGATGGCCGCGCCCGATGCGCCCCGCGACGACAAAGCCGTCGGTCGTGTCAAGCGTTGCGTTTTCTGCAGTGAGATTGGGTCATATGCAGTGTGCTTTACTGGTAACTTTCGCGCTTGGATCGGGGCTCGGTTGGCTCCTAGCAGTGAGCAGTGAGGTCACCGTGGCAAGCCGACTTTGCCACCTTCTCGCCCGTGCAGGACGGTGAAGTTGGGAGTGGGTTCATGCACGTGACTTCATTTTGTCGTTTCTCAAGATCGCCTTTGAGACTGGTTTATTATATATACATATATATATATATATATATGTTTGCATGATTGTTTTTTTCAGTTTTCGCACAATGTATGGACCCAAAACGATTGGATGTGAGTCATCACTATTTAGGAAGATTGATGTCTCTTTAGATGTAAGCTTGATGACAATTGCTTAGCTTTGAAATCAATTGTAGTCTCTTCAACTAAACAATTGCTTAGCTTTTGAAATCAAATAGCTCTTCAATTGCAATCTCTTCAAATCATATCTTTCCTTTTAAGAACCATCCCCAAAAATAAACTTGCGGGTCAGAAGCGAAGCCAGCGAGAAGCCCCGCCAGGACTCGGTGAATGGTGCCGGCCTCAAGTGCCCCGTAGACGGCCTCGACCCATGCCCATTTGAGCAAACTCCGTTGGCTGAAACCCAGCTGTGGGAAATTCTGTTTGCTCGAGCACCCTGGCTATAGCATCGCTGAGGCGAGTGAGCGTGGCAGCAAAAGAAGCGCACGCGTCCAGTCGGGCAGTGGGACAGGATTAAAAAGCCACCCTTTCAAGGGTCCTACTTTCAGCACGCCCCAATCAGCGAGAGGTTGTTTTTGGCCGGGGTAAGAAGGCCCTCTTGTCCTGTGTCCTGGGTTCCGAAAGGGCCTTCAACTTTGGCAGGATCGATGGGCCTCGGACGTCCCAAATTTTGGCCGCCTTTTTGGTACTCAAAGAGGAAGGGCCAGGGGCCAGCCCCCCCCCCCCCCCCAGAACAAGGGCTTTTGCCCACGTCCAAATCCCAAGTGCTGGAGGCCGTTTTTCGCCCACGAGCCAAAGCCATGGCCAGGCAGGTGGACTTTGAGTTGCCGCCTCCGCCCACTGCCACAAAGGCAAGGGACCTGGTGTGCCTAGAGGCTTCATGTCAGGTGCTTCTCAGTTGGTTTGGAGTGGTGGTTTGGGGATTTGAACCCCTGGCTTTTGCGGAGGGTACATGAAAACCACCGAACCACCGATGCAAACCACCATTCGAAGGAAGGTGATCATGTCCAAGTTCTGTGAATATGTTTGTTTGGAGGGGAGGAAACACCCTAACAAATAAAAACCTAAATACCCTAAACATCTGAAAATCGCCAAGCGCCCTACACAGGCTAGACACTCTAAAGGATGTCTTCACCACTACGTTTGGGACCCTTGGGCTACTTCGGACAGCCGCGCGTGCGAGGCACTTGTTTCGGCCGGGCCCACGGAGGCGGGGCGCAGACTGCGGACAAGCAGATTCAAAGCTCGAGTGCGTCCCGAATGAGGTGTATTGTTTCGGTCCGTTTGCTTGCTTGGTTTTAGTTGGGTTGGGTTGGTTGGGGTCCGGTAGGGTTGGGTTGGGTTGGTGTAGTGTTTGGCATATCAGTTTTGGAAGCGCCTGTGCCGCAATGATGTACGTCGCCGCAGCCGGCAGAAGCGTGCACGTCGCTGCATCATGCCATGAAGCGCAGACGACCGCAAACTATCAGGCGGAGAAGCGCCCAGGTGAACGAGATGGCGCAGACGTCGACTAGGTCTTCTGAGCCCTGAGCAAGTTGCAGAGTTGCGGCAAGCACTGAATGCAGGCATAGCGCTACACTTCTTTAATTTTCTACATGCACGCCACTCACAGAGCCTGGATGCTGTAGTCAACCAACCAGCTGCGTTCGCTTTTGCTCTCATCCGTTGCGGCTGTAAAGATGCGTCTGACGTAAAGAGCTGCCGCTTGAAGTCTTGCTCTGAAAGTGGCACAAAACGATCAACTTGAGAGAGACCTCTGGCTACACTGCCTCCTGAGAAACCTCTTCCGCACCGCCGGGCCCAGCATGGTCTCGCCGTCTCTAGAATCAGAAGTCGAGTCTCGGGTATCCTTCAATTTTGGCAGCCTGGCTGAGTCAAGTTTAGTTGGGGGACACCATCGAATCCTGTGGAGGAAAAGCTGCATCCTGAAGCCGCCCAGTCCACTTCCATAAATTGGGTCGCTCGCTCAAGTGACTCAGCCTCGCCAACCTCTCATCGAGTCGCGCAGACGGTAGGGTTTCCATACGCACCGCAGCATCTGCGCGAAGTACAATGCCACGACAGTGTCAAACTGGCGTTCCGGGCGCGTTCTCGACATCGCGGCCATCTTTGCGGCGCCACTCCAAATGTTGCAGTACAGGAGTCCTGTCTGACAACGCACATGCCAGTGCAAGTGGGCTCGGGCTCCAGAACGTGAAGTTCGCAGGCTCCGGCCAAGGACCAGAGCACGGCCGAATCGCCAGCATGGGTTCTTGAAATGACACATTGATCTGGTGTGACTCGTAGAGGCAGGCCGAGAACACGGAGTGAGTTTTCATGGCTGCCGTCGCTCAAGCCAGCGAAAGTGCTGGCTGAGACCAGTATCCAGCCTGCAGTCGGGTTGGGCTGGGCTGTGGGTTGGCTTGGGTGG